GTATATATAGTGTTGGGGTCCTTCCTTCATTCTAGTAGTGGCAGCAGTTGGCCACACAGGTGCCTGATTAAAAAAAATTTTTAATCAACTTTTTAAAATAATTTTGGCCGATGGACATTATAGAAAAAATGTTATGTATCGGTCGACCTCTAGTTATTGTTTATTTTTAGGCCAAACAAAAACTTTTTCAGAACTTTTTGAACAAAATAACTCCATGAGGCCCACATTTATGAGACTGACTAAAGATCTTCACAGTTACTGGATGGATGGTGCACAGAACTGAGCAAATACCTGTCACTTTTTACCCATAAGTCTCAGCTGTAGCTCACCTTGTGAAACAATTGGCGTCGCTTAGGACAGAATCCAAGGACACCAGTGTCCCACCACACACAAGCTGTCCATTCTTTTGCAGACTCACCATCCACGGCCACAAACCATCTGTTGCCTCCGAACCTTCCCAAATACCAGCGTTTAGAGGGGCTTGTCCACAGAACACAGCTGGAATAAGAAAACATGGGTGAAAATGATCTTCACCCACTGAACTAGTGGTAGCATGCCTTTATAACTGATTACATGAATTTATATGTGTGTGTTAGGTTTCACTTGTAGTCATTATTTGGTTTCCCAGGAAAGATAAAAAGGCACGTTTTACAAGAGAAACTTACATGAATGCTGAACGTGAGCTGGAAATTAAAATACATTTAAGTACTATTTTAAATTAGATCGCTAATTTGTGAGAAGTATAATTTACACAAATTTAATCAGGGTTGGGATCATATAATAACAAATGTAACAATGACATCAAACGTGTCCCAAAATATCACACTAAGTCCATCCATCCATCTTCAGCCGCTTATCCAGAGTCAGGTCGCAGGGGCACTAGCCTAAGCAGAGAGGTCCAGACTTCCCTCCCCCCAGCCACTTGGACCTGCTCCTCCGGGGGAATCCCAAGGCGTTCCCTGGCCAGCTGAGAAATAAAGTTCCTCCAGTGTGTCCTGGGTCTCCCTTTAGGTCTCTTCCCAGTTCGGTGTGCCCGGAAAACCTCACCAGGGAGGTGAATGGAGCTTCTCACCCTATCTCTAAGGGAGAGTCCAGCCACCCTGCAGAGAAGAATCATTCCGGCCACATGTATCCGCAATCTTGTTCTTTTGGTCACTACCCAAAGCTCATGACCATAGGTGAGACCATAGATCGAGCGCTAAATCTTCACCCTAACCCTTTTCTGATTCAAGACCGAGGTCTGGGATTTAAAGGAGCTGATTCTCATCTCATCACACCAAGTCCATTCCCATGATTTCCTTTATTTTTTCTTCTTCAGTGTTTTTTTCATTTATTAATGTAACAAAATATTAAAGCAGGTTCTCACGTTCAGCATTAGGGCTTGTGTTGGTTGGGGCTACACAGGAAACACTGAGGTCGTCGTCGGTCCCGTTGGACGTGAAGGTGATGAAACTTGGATGGTGACTGACGGTGTGGTTGCTGATCCAGCTCTGGTACTGGGACACTCTGGTGTAGACTGCTGTGAAATTCGATGCAGCACAACCTTCTCCAAAACTTGCGATTCCTGCCTGAACCCAAACACCGTGCAGATCGCTCACCAGTGGGTCTCCTCCATTCCCCTTTGAGGTCAGAAAGATTTAGATTGTGAGGACAGGAAATCGATGCAGAAAGTTAAAAGGAAAAACACAAATAAAGACAACTTGAACTCTTACATTACAGAAACCTTCCCCTCCCTCAAGGAAACCAGCACACATCATGTTGTGAGTGATGTTGCTCTCTCCACAGCTACACTTACACTGCTGGCTTCCCACAACTGCCACTTCAAACTCCACTAGGTTTTCAGATAGCGACCCTGGAAAGACACAATTTCAGTTTAATGGTCATAAAATTAATTTTCCTTAAACATTATTGTTTAATGGTAAGAAGGTAATGCAAATTTTTTTCATTTGAAGTCTGCATTTTATTATTTTTAACACAGGAAGAAAAGAAAAATGCCACATTTGAGGTGATTATCGCCAAACATAGTTGATCTTATTTTTGAGCAAACAGACATAAAGCACTGTCATAAAGGGACAGCAGTAGCTCAGGAGGTGGAGTAGGTTGTCAAGTGATCAGAAGGTTGCAGGTTCGATCCCGGCTCTGACCAAAGAATGCTGCTGTTGTGTCCTTGGGCAAGACAACCCACCTTGCCTGCTGGTGGCGGTCAGAGGGGCTGGTGGCACCTGTGTTCTATCAGTGCACCCCTGGGCAGCTGTGGCTACTTCATAGCTCATCCCCACCAGTGTGTGAATGACTGACTGTGTTGTGAAGCGCCTTGGAGAGTTGTATGTAAGCTAAGAGGAAATACAACTACAGGCCATTTACCATTAACTCAATAGAAACGTCCTCTGTTGTTATCAAAGAATTAACTGAGAGAGAATGAGTGAGCGGAGGTAACGTTCTCCTTCATGTACTTTGTTTATAGGGAGCCTCCCCTCCCCTCCTCATGGGTCCCCTGACTAAACAAACAATGAATGTAAGTAAACAAGGTCATTAAATTTATTTCTTAGTCTGCTTTGCCTTAAAACATCTTAGGTGTGTTCTTGCTGTGCCGTGGTTCTAATTCCATGCTGTCGTTCTTTTTAAAACACAGAAACAGTTTTGTTTACCTGTTTTGTCGCTACGTTTCGCCGGTGGCTGCAGGCTTCTTCAGGCTGACGCTGATGGTGGCGTCACTTCCTTCTCCGTTTATGCGCCACCATCAGCGTCAGCCTGAAGAAGCCTGCAGCCGCCGGCGAAACGTAGCGACAAAACAGGTAAACAAAACTGTTTCTGTGTTTTAAAAAGAACGACAGCATGCATTGTCCTCAATCAAACATATAAATACTTCATTGCGTTTGTTTCAACTGTCTGTCATGTAATTTGACATTTTTTAGCTTGTAAAAATTTCTTATTAACCCTCTTTGATGCATGAATTATGAAATCTTCAACCATGATTTTTTAAACAATTTTTTCATTCATGTTTAGGTGCGAATGAAACAAATTTCAACAAATATATCTTGTAATTTTTGTTAATTTACAAATAATTTATTACATGTCCACCTCAGTGGACAGCGTGCATTCTGAACATGAAATATGTTGGCTTGACTTACTGAAGTCCAAATGGAGGTGCTAGAATGCAATAAAGTCTTCAACAGCTGTGCTTAATAGCAAAAATAAATAAATAACAATTTTGAATACCTGTCCACTGTAGTGACCATTATGCATCAAAGGGTTAAAATGGCAACAAATCAGGTGTCACATCACAGCAGAATCTCTTCTCCCCCAGAGTAGCGGGCCCTTTCAACATGGTCAGACTTACAGGGGTTTTCTCCACATTTAATGCTCCTTTAGAAGGATACGAAGCTTGCTAAACTCACAGCCATTTTTTTTCTTCTCCTTGTCTGGTTTGATTATGTAAATTAGGTGAGACAAGCAGATAGAGTTCTCCACGTCGTTTCACACAAACCTTAAAGTAGCTTTTGCAGCCTGCTGAAAATAAATGCTTTCTTGGCATCAAAATGTGTCTTTTGACCACTGGAATACAGTTCAGTTCATTTATAACTCACCACTTATTTCTGTGTTGCCCCAACAGGTGACTGTGGCATTTATACCAGTGTAGAAGGTGCTGTTTGAGTCTGCCAGGACAACAGGTGCAATGTAACTGGTGAAGTTCACTGGTGCAGAGAGCATCAGAAGAGCAATGTTGCTGTTGCCAGTTACAGAGTCGTAGTCCTGGTGGATGATGATCTCCTCCACTGTTCGTTTGACTTCATTTGGATTGGGTCCCTGCTGTCTCTCACGGCCCAGATAAACTGTCAGAATATCTTGGGTGATGTTAAAACTGTCAGAAAATAAGAAATAAAACATGTGAATGTAAGATACCAGTCTGTTTCAACTTGGGGTTTGCAAATACTAAAATATGTTAACTTCTTTAGCAGTGATGCTAAAAGATGGTTGAGTTACGTTCTATGTTTCTCATTAGTGAGGATCCAATTTTATGGGTTAAAGTACCCCTCAACCTGTAAACGTCTGCAGAAGTCCACCACTGTTTTAAGTAAAGAAGATTTATTATAACTTTACAAAGTCATAACAAATCTGTTGTCCGTACAAAACATGTTTATTCGTTTCCTTGTACAAAATGAGTCTCGCATAAAACAATCTCAGCAGTTTTATTCTTGAAATTTTCAGTACCTTCCAGAATGAGTAGTTTCTTTTATTTTAAGGAAAACAATCTGTCACTGGCCACCCCTACTCACCCCCGATTGACTACGACGAGTGGAGGAGCTTGTTAGAATACTGTGGCTTCTGAAAATGCTGACCAGTGTCACATTCGTTGGCTTTCCATGTTCCCTCTTTTCCTTAGGTGGGTCAGTTCCTCTAAACGAATAGAGCTAGTAATGACGGGATTGTCATGTCCGCTTACCAGCTGCACTCCTAAACCCTCCCTTCCACCAGACATGAAAGCGTTGTGAAACTGCAGCGAAATGTACTTCGCTGCCATTGTGATGATGTGTAAAAATTTGGACGCATCCCAGAAGTGAAGGGATGCTTTCATGGCATTTTGAGTCTATTTTTTTACGTGCTATGCTTCCAAAGCACATCAAACGCCACGGAACAGATTGGGCCATACAGGAAGTCAAATACAAAAGCAGTGTTAAATATAAACTTTCAAAATAAATGTCATGTGCAGATTAACATAGGTAATTTCCTGTCAAACCCTTTGTAGCGTCATGAAGGGACTGTTTTCCTTTCTCCTCAGGATGAACTTATCTCCTTGAGATTTTGCTCAAGGCCTTTTGATGCCTCTGCATGTAAACTGTTTAACTAGCTATTTGCCTCCCCTTACAGCTCAAGAGAAGAAAGAAGACCAAAAACTCTCTTCTCTATTGAATAATAATCAGATACCTGTGTTAGTCTAAATAATCATGTAAAACTCAATGTTAAATCAATCTGTGAAATGAGAATATTAATTACTTGACATTATAATCATATGATAGTATTTTAATAAGTAATATAACTTTAAACTAGACACTAGACTGATGACACGTAATGTTAATCACATGACACATTCCTTTGTCTCTCCAATCAGAGCTTTCCTTTCTGACGCGTGGCATGATCTGTGCAGTGTTTATATTTGTGTCCAACTCTGATTCGACCATAAATCAAAACATCTGAATTATAAATCTAATTCCCACGTCACCCTTAACCAGTTCAAATGTTCTAGAGTTTTGAGCCGGTCACTCGTAACTTTTTAACCACAAAGAACCTTGACCAGCTGGATGATAAAACCTGTTGCAAGCTCCACCTGACGCAATGCTCCTTCAGAGTAAAAGCTGAACTCACGGACCCTTCAGGGTCCCGCTGACGCTGTCAAACAACTGCCGCTTACCTGGGGGCATTCCAAGACTAGTCTGTCATACCGTACGCTGTTTCATCGGCTTTGGTGCCAAAAAGGGGTTTGAGAACCTGGCATTCTGGATCTGCAACAGAGGTCTCCACAAGGGTATGTAGCGCAGCAAGATAGCGTCTGAATGCGGTTTTTGAAACTCCGACTATAGTTTAGAGCAAAACATTCGCTCCCACACAGAAGTAAGGCTTCTCCGGAAACGAGAGTTCTTATAACAACATTCCACATTTACACCATCCATTTTGCCTCATTCACAACTAGATCCATTCATCACATAGTAGTTAGAGTTAGAGTTAGCCTTGTTTTAAATTATTTAAAAATAAATCTTCTTAAACTTTAAAACTTGTCTCTCTCTCTCTTTTGACTCTGGGTTATTACGAAGTGTTACCTAATCCCTGCAATAAAAAGTTCAGATCTTCTGTTAAAAGTAATATTCAAAGATACATCAAGCTGATTCCAGCTTTAAACACCTTTATTACATCACGCCGCTTTCGCGTGATGTAATAGGAAGGAGAGAAGGAGGGGTAAAAGAGCCCAAAGATGGCATTGATTCAGATCTGTGTAGTTGTAAAAATAAAATGCTGCTTGTAAAATGGTAGTTAAAGACACTTCAATAAATCATGTGGGGTTAATTTTATGTCAAAGGAGAGGAAGACTCGCCCCCATATTGTTTAGTTTGCAGGCTTCTTTTTGAGGCAGACGTTTGACTCATAAACGACCAGTCAACTGAAGTGGTTAATGATTAAAAATAACCCTTTAAATGTTACTTTGTACAACCAAAATCACCACACAATTGGTGTTTTTGTTCAAGTAGTGATTTTCTGAGACAATGCTGCAATTTCAGTTACTGCAGTGCTAAAATTCACAAAGAGGGACTTAATGAGCCTTTTTCAGTAGCAGATTTCTTTTAGGACAAAATGGAGGGATAGATCATTTGATGTGAAAAGCTAAAAGAGAAGAACACATAGAATATTTCTTAATTTTTTGCTATTTGACAACAACATGCACAAAGACCACAGAAAAGTTAAAATACAGAGAATGGAAAATATAAGATGGCTACTTGAGGAGTTACCTTTTTGACGTGTAAACTTTAGCTTTTGTTTGTTAGAAAAAGTTGACAGCAGAAAGGTGAAAACTTGTAAGGCAGATAAGTGATGAGCTACCAGGCTCTGAGGTGACTGGTTAGCTCAAACCTTCGTTCCCACCTTGAAACGCAGTGAGCAGAAGTCAACACCCACAGATCATTAATCAGGGATCCTCCACAAAGATGACTGGAGTTGTGAAGACTGACCATCCAGGGCCATTTGTTGATGGGTGCTGTTGTTCCTCCAGTAGTCCTGGTGCTGGGAACTCCGTGACCTTTCACTGAAAAAAAAGAACAAAGTTCCTTTTCAAATAGTTTTGAACCAGAAAGCGGAAATATTTAAATGGCAATTTTCAGCTATTTGTTTTGGTGAGTTTGTTATAGATGTGGGGAAAGAGGACATGAAGTTATTTTGTCATTTACACACACATTCATACCCTGGTGGTGCTGAGCTACTGCAGTCACGGCTGCCCTGGGGCACACTGACAGAGGCGAGTCTGACACAGGTACCACCGGTCCCTCCGACCACCACCAGCAGGCAAGGTGGGTTGAGTGTCTTGCCCAAGGACACAGCGACAGTGACAGACTGATCGGGGCTCAAACCTGCAACGTTTCAATTACTGGGCTAGCTCTGTGCCAACGTCACCCTTATACTGTATATCTGTCAATGACATATGCTAATAAAAGGTACAAACTACAGATACAGTAAATGCTTTTGTCTAACCACTCAGAAATTCAAAAAGGTCCATTTTAAGTTTATTTACACGACACATTTCCAACAGGAACATCTGCCCAAAGTGCCACACAGAATGAGACACATTAAAACAAGAATTAAGGCAGCATGGGGCAGCAAGAAGTGTGTGTCAGTCCCACAAAAATAAAATGTCACCCATCATCAGTTGTTGGACTATCGGTTGGAAATTTTTAAAATATCATCCAACCTTATCTTTGGATGGATAAGAAGGCACAACTACAGTGTGCAAAAAAGTATGTAGTCAGCCTCCAATTGTGCACGTTCTCCCACTTTAAAAGTATTTGGTCAGTAACTAGAGTCCATCTCAATACTTTATTGCCTTTTATTGGCAATGACAAAAGTCAAAAGTTTTCTGTAAGTCTTCACAAGGTTTTCACACACTGTTGCTGGTATTTTGGCCCATTCCTCCATGCAGATCTCCTCTAGATCAGTGATGTTTTGGGGCTGTCGCTGAGCATCACAGACTTTCAACTCCCTCCAAAGATTTTCTATAGGGTTGAGATCTGGAGACTGGCTAGGTCACTCCAGGACCTTGACATGTGTTTTGCGAAGCCGCTCCTTTGTTACCCGGGTGGTGTGTTTGGGATCATTGCCATGCTGAAAGACTCAGCCGCGTTTGATCTTCAGTGTCCTTTCGGAGGTTTTCATTCAAAATCCGAATCCGATGATACATGGACACATTCATTCTTTCGTTTACAAGGATCAGTCATCCTTGTCCCTTTGCAGAATAACAGTGTCAAAGCATGATGTTTCCACCTCTATGCTTTACAATAGGTATGGTGTTCTTTGGGATGTGACTCAGCATTATTTCTCCTCCAAACACGACAAGTAGAGTTTTTACCAAAAAGTTCTATTTTGGTTTCATCTGACCATATGAAATTCTCCTAGTCCTCTTCTGGATCATCCAGATGCTCTCAAGCAAACTTCAGACGGGCCTGCACGTGCACTGGCTTAAGCAGGGTGCCACGTCTACCACTGCAGGATTTGAGTCCATGGTGGCGTTGCCACTCTGTACTCCTTTTGTCTCTCATAGTTGAGGTATAGGCTACCTATGATGAGCATTGCAGGCCTCTTGTCTTTTTAAGTGGGAGAATCCATAGTCCCTCCTGCACCTAGGAATGAGTGGATCTTGTAGATTTTACTGACGGCAGTGACCAGCTACATCCAGTTTCCAAGCTGAGTGATTCAATTCAATTCAATTCAGCTTTATTATCGGACTCATGGTCCACATTAAAAAAGAGACATAAAAACGATACAAAAGATGATAAAAGACATGCATACCAGTGTCTCCACGTGGATGACTGGTAACGCACTGCACTAAAATGGGGATCAACCAGCATCTGCACAAGTCTGTTCTTAGAGTTCTTCAATTGCAAGATAAACCTGGACATCAATTCCTCATTATGGCTTGGAAGGTCCTGACATGAGCATTACAAAATAAAAGACTTACACTACAGGACCGAGGCTTCCCTAGCAGAGTCCTAAATGCATCGTTGTAGGCTACTTTAAGCGTATGCTAGCTGGCTTTCCTATCAGAACACGTAGAATTTCCTGACCAAAATATTGGCTTGGGCATACAAAGCGCGACATTGCCGTAAATGTCGTCATCGTCACAGAGCTGATCTGTGATGAAGTGACCCAAATATTTAGCTTTGTCACTGACACTTATCTTCTTGTCGACCGAGTAGAAGTCTGGGAAACAAAGATCCTTATCTCCTTTGGTTCGACAAATCAGCACAACGCTCTTTTTTGCATTAAACTGCACATCGTACTTCAGCCCATATTCAGAGCATGTGTTTAGCAGCTGCTGAAAACCAGCACTGCTGGCCGAAATGATGGCCAAGTCATCAGCATACATGAGATGATTAATCAGATTGTTACCAATCATACATCCAGTTTTACATTTCTTGAGTTGATTTGACAAATCATCCATGTAGAGGTTGAACAGAGCAGGTGACAGTAGCCCTCCCTGACGCACCCCAAAGGGGGCTGATGTGGTGTTGTCCCATTTAACTTGCATTGTCTGATTAGAATACCAGTATGCCAAAATCCTCACAATGCTGTCAAGGACACCTCTTTCACTTAATTTGATTGAAACACCAAAGCCCACAAACAGCAAAGAACCCAGATTGCCATCCCAGAGCCGTAACAGAACCCGTAATTCAACAGCTTCATACTTATGAACACAAGGCTCATTGGCTGTTGACTGTAAATTTGTGGTGCTTTGAGACACCTTGAAGGTCAGATACATGATTAAAATCACAACAAGAGGGAGATACTCTTGCAAGCATGGCATTCAATAATAGAGGCATTATTCCTACAACTATGACATGAATATGTGTACTTGTATTTGTTACACAAATTTCAAGTTCACTATTAAAAAGATGGAGAAAGTAGTCTCCCAGTAGATTTGTTTAATATAAAAATATAATATTGTCACACAAAACTCAGCAAGCTACAACATATTGTAACCTTTACACTCCTTGGCCACTGGCAGTTTTAGAAAATAATAAATCCCTACTTATTTATGAAGAAAGTAAAAATGGAGCAGAAATAAAGAATTTCACACATCTAATGAATGGCTGCCTTATGACGAAGATGCAACAAAAGAAAGTTTTAGAAAGCAGGATCCAACAAACAGAAAAAGAAAAACAAAGTCAGCAAAAGGAAATCTAATCAAAAGATTTTTCAAACCTTTTAAAATCCAGATGTAGAAATTAACAAAGTTCAGTTATCACTTTCAACTGTTCTTACTCAATTCTTTTGTCAAATTGCTGCAGCTCCTCACAGCATCAAAGTACGAGCATTCCCATTGTCTCAGATTTTATTGGTGACACTTACCAAGGTCTGGAAGCTAAAAATCTGCACCAGCATGTTGAAACTCTATTCAATAAATGAATTAGCTCCCTCAATACCACTCTATGTTGGCATGAACTATAGATCTGAAAAAGATCAACGTGTTTGCAAGGGTTCTTACCTTTGGTTAGGAGGGTCACCAGCAGCACCACCACACTGGTCACCTTGTAGAAAGTCATAGCTGTAAGTGAACTCCAGCAGGTCTGCTCAAACTTAAATATGCACCACTCCACTGCACGCAAGCACACACATATGCATGCTTGCGCTCAGTGTCCTTGAGTTGTAGGGACTTTACCAAAGACACACTGAAGTGTAAGTGCCTCTCAAAGGTACAGCAAAAGTTGTGTTACCTGAAAACAATTGAAAATTACTTTATGACCATGAAAAACTAAAATAATCCCAATTTTCTTGTGTGGTGTGGTTCATGTTGCACATTGTGGGTATTAAACATCAAACACCTAAATGACAGATTTTTCTTCTAAAACTGCTAGATCTACATTTCATGTTGGAAAGCAACTCAGAATCAGGAACGGCAGTAGAGGTACAGTCGGTGTTTATTTAAAACAGATACATTCTGGTGGGAAAAATACCACACTTTGATGCTGAAGTGTGTTTGGACTACATACATGTTCTAATTGTGTAACAGATAACTTCTAAATGCTTTAGACTAAGACAGGAAGAATGTGAGGATGAAACGTGTCTTTTCCTTTCTTAGAAGCAATTTTTCAGGTTTGTGCTGACATTTCTCTCCTTTATTTAAATCATTACTAAGAGAAGGGCAAGACTGATTAGTCTGTAGACTGTCCACTACACGGATCACACAACTGGGTAAAGAAAATGACCAAATAAAACATAAAGTACGAGGTTTCCTGCAACAGGAAGTCAGAAGGAGTCAAAGGAGGATTTAGGAGTTAGTTCTGAAAAAGAAGGGTGTGATTTAAACGTCAACATATAGGGACTACTCTTCCTAAACTTCCTAAATACCGCTGGTTATTTTTCGAAGTGAGCATAGGCGTCATTTTAACCGGGGACGCCGGGGACATGTCTCCGGCAAAATTTGTGATTGGCAGCTGTGTCCCCCCCACTTTCAAAAACGCCTGCTGATGAGGATTTTTGTTTTACCAGCTCAGATCTTATCCAGGGGTCGGCAACCTGTTCCCATCAAAGAACCATTATTACCCGTTTCCCACGGTAATTTTGGACAGACCTTAATAAGCAGTGACTTAAGTGAAGCAGGCAGGTCGCGCTAGAAAATTTCGTTTAAAAAGACGTCATAAATGTGTTCCCCCGTCATTTTTATTACTAAAATATGAAGTAAAAACTCACAATTTAATTTTCGTTCATTTGTCATTAATATGTAGTCTACACCCGTGCGTTAAGTGGACCATCTTCCAGTAAACGCAAAGCATCCAGTCCACCTCTCCAAATGCGTAAAATGTGCATCAGCCGCTAGTTAGGCGCGCGCGCACCATCAGCTGATCAGCCCAGACAAGAGCAGAGCAACTAGAGAAATAATAGAGGATAATTGTGTCTGGATGTGGATGGAGATTACATTTTACAGCAGCCTGATCATCATTTAAATACGTAAACCATCACCTGTCTTCTAGTCCACGCTATCAGCATTATTTTATATTTTAATTGGTGTGTGTGTGTGTGTGTGTGTGTGTGTGTGTGTGTGTGTGTGTGTGTGTGTGTGTGTGTGTGTGTGAGTGAGTGAGTGAGTGAGTTTTCCACTTCAAACACTGGTCTAACCAACCAGACCAGCGTGTCCAGTAACACATTAATGTTACAATTAAACAGTTTCCCTTCATGTAGCCTAGGAACGTTTCACCTGCCGTGGCCCGACCGCTTCTGCTCCACATGAACTTTGTGCGTGATCAAATGTCTCTACGCTTCATGCGGAAGACGGGAACAAGCGCTGTTCAGCCAAAGTTTCATAATTTCATAAAAAGAACATTTTCCAAGTGACACATCCCTCAGAGAGACCGGGTTTCCTGAACGCTTCAGTGGGAGGAAATCATCGCATGCGCGTGGTTCTGCACTGCGCTGCACTGCGAACCCCAGATCTTCAGCTCACTGTCCACCGGGGGCGCTCCGAGCCGCGCTGAACACAGTGTCCAGTATAAAGCTCTGATGTTCTGATGGGAATATTTTACCTCCGCGTGTGCGTTAACGATTAAAATGTCAGCTCATCCATGAGCATCCGTGTGCGTCGGGGTAATTCTTTCAAACCAAGCAACATCCTTGAGTTCATCTGTCAAAATAAACAGTCAAATGGAAATATATGTAACCTGCCGTTTAACTGTTTTGCCTTCCTGTGAAGATTGTTGCAAAGAGAAACAATTAAACTTGATTAACCCTAGAGCCACGCAGAGAACCATGCAGAGCGCATGCGGGAAGATTCCTCCCACTGAAGCGAGTGTTTTCCAAACCCTGTCTCTCAGAGAGACTTGTCACTTAGAAAATGTTCCCTGATTATGAAACTTTGGCTGAATAGCGCTTGTTCCTGGCTCCAATGTGGCGACACATCCAGGAGCCGTCTGAGGAGAAGCCCAGAATCTCACATCCTCTTCAGCTCATAAAGTGCCGATATGATTACGCACAAGCGTGACCGGTCAACCACCGCAGACCGGGTTGGACCTGTTCAGGTTTACGCAGACAATCTACATTTAGAATTGGCATACAGGTGTAAAATTAATGCAGTAAAATATAAAGCATTTTATTTAAATATCCATTTATTATTTTACAAGCACAGAGAGTTGCATCAGATGGATGGAAGAGCCGCATGCGGCTCCAGAGCCGCGGATTGCCGACCCCTGTGCTAGCCTACTTTATTGTCCCCAGCAATTTTTAAACCCCACTCAAGTGTATGGTTATTGTCCCCAGCAATTCTGAAAACAAACTGACGCCCTTGGAAGTGAGGCACGAACCTGTGAAGCTTCTGCCGATCACAATTTGACAACAGATTATGAAAGAATGGATAATGCTCGAAACGCGCTGTTTCTTCCTGCCGATCCTGCTGCTCCCGGTGCAGTTGGTTCCTTTGATGGCGTTTCCGTCTTCTTTGTGCCTACTACATCTGCACTCAGCCAGCAGCCCTTTCTCTTTTACGTGTGTGTGTGTGTGTGTGTGTGTGTGTGCTTGCATCTGCTTGGGATGGAATTGAGGGTGGGAGGAGGGAGATACAAAGGGGATCTCATGTGAATCTGTGTGGGAGGGGTGGGAAACGGACTGCTGCCTGTTTGTTTTTAATATCGTTAAGCGCTTTGAGCTGCACTTGTATGAAAAGCGCTCCATAAATAAAATTAGATTTTATGTGATTTGATTCTTCCTGATGTAAGAGGTAAATCTAATCTTTGTTTTGGTAGTTTTGGCGTTGACATCATCCTAGCGCGTAACGTTCTGTGACTCTTAAAAAAACAGTAAAAACGCAGAAAAGTGCTGGCAGCGAAGGGCTTTACTGATCAGGAAACGGCTGTCAGTGAATGAGTTAACATAATTAATTTTTCGACAAAACATTTAGTATTTGCCGTTGGTTTATGAAGAGAATTTAAACATGGCAAAAACACTCCATAAAAAACATGTCATACTGCACCTTTAAGAACCCCTGTAAGGTATATACTACCAAATAAAATAAGTTTTACAATTTAAAATGTCAATTCTTTGAATTAATGGAAAAAGCAGTCATCAACGAAATCTTCACTATGATGAAACTATCCTAATCAACTACGGGATTTAATAATCCTAAATGTTTTAGTAAGATGGCAATTAGACTTCTTTTCTTGTCTCACAGATATTTCACCTTCCTTCTGAAGGGAAGCTCTGAATATGAACCGAAAGTTTTAGGTTGCTGATAAGATCGTCACAAGAAAAGGTCGCATGAGCCACAGACTGTCCTGTGACTTGTGAGAGGTTTACCAATGAAGTAAACACTCAGATTGTGGATGGTGGTGAAACTACCTGGTCAGGTGAACATAGAGATCATATAACCTGTTTTTGTTGACCCAACAAATCAGCCCAGTGCTTATATTTGCAGATTATCTTGAAAGAGAATTGCTTCAGCAGGCTAAGGACTTCACTGTAAAGAGGCGGCATGCTGCCAGTTATGTAAACAAAACAGTCATCTGGGAAATTTTCAGGGCACAGATATTACATTGTTAAAAGGTTCTGAGCACTCAGGGTGGACAAAAATCACCCTGGGAATTCTGAACCAAGATCGGCCCAACAGCTATTGATGGATAAACAATGAAGCCTCATTTTTTACATCCTCTCTGTAATGCTGGTCCTTGATATTCCATATCCACCGTGTTTTAGTTGTTTCTCTGCTCCAGCCCAAAAACTGTGCTTATTATGCTGTTTAATGCAACAAAACATCAACAGGCCAAGAAAACACGCTGAAATCTAGTTTAAATAAAAAAATCAGTAAAGCTAAATATGAAATTTGTCAGAAAACCAAGTTGTCCCATGTTTGCCCTAAAACTAAATCACACACACACACACACACACACATACACACACACACACACACACACACACACACACACACACACACACACACACACACACACACACACACACACACACACACACACACGAGTGTTATGGTGCCACCTTGACAGTAAAATAACGATGGAGAAAAATGAGCTGACTAACTAATATACTGTAGGTTATTATTTTACTGTAGGCCTATTGCCTACTGTAGGCTATTTGTTATTACTCATATAACATCTTGAAATCTGACATTTTTAAAACATTTCACAAGACCACCACTCCTCACTTAACTCAGAATAAAAACATCAGGCAGCTGTTACTAACTATAAACAAACAGTTAATTTCATTTTATAACAAAACTATTTTAACATATAATATAATATATAACTAGTGTAAAGTGCTTTGGATTCCTCAGACTCTGAAAGGCGCTATACAAGTGCAGATCATTTATCATTTTTATAATATTTGAGTGTGTTACTCTTTATATTTATTCATTATATTTCAGGATAGCCTAAAGATTGAGTCTCTGCTTTTTGCAGATGATGTGGTCCTGTTGGCTTCATCAGAATGTGATCTCTGGCTTTCAATGGAGCGGGTCACAGCCGAGTGTGAAGCAGCTGGGATGAGAATCAACTCCTCTAAATCCGAGATGATGGTCTTGAGTTGTAAAAAGGCAGAATGCATTCTCCGGGTCAGGGATGGAGGGTGAGATTGACAGATGGATTGGTGCTGCGTCTGCAGTGATGTGGGCATTGCTCCGATCTGTCGTGGTGAAGAAAGAGATCAGCCGGTCCATCTACATTCCTACCCTCACCTATGGTCATGAGCTTTGGGTAGTGACTGAAAGAACGAGATCAAGGATACAAGCGCCCAAATGAGTTTTCTCAGAAGAGTGGCTGGACTCTCTCTTAGAGATAGGGTGAGAAGCTCGGTCATCCGGGAGGGGCTCGGAGTAGACCCGCTGCTCCTCCACATCGAAAGGAGCCGGTTGAGGTGGCTCGGGCATCTAGTTAGGATGCCTCCTGGACGCCTCCCTGGTGAGGTTTTCCAGGCACGTCCAACCGGGAGAAGGCCTAAAGGAAGACCCAGGACACGCTGGAGGGACTATGTCTCTTGGCTGGCCAGGGGACGCCTTGGGATTGCCCAGAGGAGCTGGTCCAAGTTGCTGGGGAAAGGGAAGTCTGGGCCTCTCTGCTTAGGCTGCTGCCCCCGCCACCCGACTCTGGATAAATGGCTGAAAATGGATGGATGTAAAATCGTTTCACATTTTAAAGAACTCGCAACACTTTCATTTTTGACTTTTGTTTATTTACTGGGCGTTTCTTAGAACTCACAGCTAAGGCACAGCACAACTGGTGAGAGACGACAACAATGGAAACCAAACCATCACAAAGAAACAAAACGGGACTGAAAGAAGGCGTGAGAAAAAATAATTTCAACTGGGATCTAAACTTCGCTTAATTGTAACATCACACAATGTCTTTAAAGGTTTTCAATAAATAATAACAGCCTGTCCAAAGATTAGACCACATTCAGATTATGTGCTCACACAGATTCAGTCCCTTTTTCTTTTGTAGCAGACTGGCTTTGAGTTTTTCCAGTTTACCAATTGGAATTCCAGCAGCTACTTCCTGTTGGTTTACCATCTAAACATTTGAACTCATCCACTAAGAGTAACTTGATCTGATAAATTATATGTAACACTAACTGGTCTAGAATAAATAGCGTTAAAGTTCATGGATCTCATCCAAACTGCTTTGGTCCCAGGAATAACAGTTTCAGCTCCACATACTGGAACAGTTTATCAAAAGATATTTAAATGTACCGTTATCGTAACTGTTGACTGCTGAATACAAAAACTACCTAAATACAAATCTCAAAATGGAAAGACTACTGTTCAAACATTTGGGGTAACTTGGAAATGTTCTTTGTTTTTCATGGAACCACATCTGAAAATAGTCTGAATCTGAAATATAGTAAACGAACAAGACATGTATTCAAAATTAGAAATTAAGAGTTTTAAACAATGAAAATTATGAATTATTTCTTTCAAGTTTTGAAACACCTTCTGCAGCAGTTCCAGCCTGGGAGATTTCCAGGGAATCTGAGATATCCTCCTGTGCTTCCTGGAGCATATCCAGAGACTGTGGTGCTGAATTACACCCAGATCTCTGGCTGCAGGTGTGGATTTAGCATTGAAAAGATCAGGGGCTTTGTCCAGATGACTACATTTTTAGCATGTGCAAAAACCTTTTTTTAATGAAACATTTCAACTTTGAAAATTTCTACCACCTTAAAGCCGAAAACATGTGAAACCAAACCGTCTCTGGGACTTAACATAAGGATTTGAGCCATGTGCAGTAATCATAAAGTTTATTCACATCTCATTAAAGAAAAGGCAAAATTCCCAATAATCACTGAAATACTTAGAAACTCAAAAACAACAAATAAATGTTTGCTAAATTATGCTAATCAAAAAAATTATAACTAGAAAAATTGCATTTGTTGCACAAATGCTGTTTGAATGCTAGACAGCCGAAACTGTAAGCTGAAGCCGTCGAACAGCTGAGCTGAAGCTGAAACAAAGCAGAACTGTCAAAATGAGCTGAATGTATTTAAAGATTTAGAAGCAAAAATCACCAACAAGCATAATAAAGCTCAGAATATAGGCGAATAATGGATAAAAATGCTAAACAGCAGACAAATGTAATCTTTGAACATTTATCAAAAACTGGAAATTTGAAACGTTAAACAGCTGGCATTTGAATGAGAATAGTTTAACGGGTACATTTTTACAATTGGCTGGACTGTGAATTTAGAAATATTTGCTGATATCTGAAACTGATAGATGAACTTATGTTCAGATTTGATATGGGATGGATGAAGAGTAGGACGAATGAAATAACGGATGGATTTTTGGATGGATGTTAGATGGTTTATTGGATGGATGGATGGATGGATGGATGGATAGATAGAAGCATGTATGGATTTATATGTAGATGGATGGATTCCTTAGGCCAAGCCGATCAGTTTGATGTCTCACTTGCGTGGGTGTGTAATTCCATCTAGCCAGAAGATGATTGACCTCTCTCAACCAATAAGGGAGCTGGGAGGGAGCGGGGCACTTTCCCACCTTCTGACGGTCAATGAAATTGAACCTATTTCTAGTTTTAAGTACAAACAATTCAAAAACAGGAGTCTGTTAATGGCTCAATATTCTTCTTTTTATATTCATTCCTATGAGACTTGGTTAAAGTGATGTGTAGTTCCTTGTGTTGCCATGGTAACAGATGACAGAAGTCTGCATTAATAAAGCTATGTACAATAACACATGAGTCATTTAAACTTTGAATAACATTTCTATATTAAAGTATGTTGATACAGTTGTGTCTAAAATGTTGTTAAATATTGTTGCTAAGCACGTTGCCATGGAAATGCAGAGCACAATATCAAGTTAAAACAAGACTCCTGGGACCAAGCAGGTTGAATTGATGCACCATACGTGTGGGTGCACATTTCCTTTTAGGCAGAAGACGATTGAAAACTCTCAGCCAGTGAAAGAGCAATGAAGGAGGAGGGGGCGGTTCCTGCCTTCTGACTAGTGTTAAAATGTCAGCAATGCTGCTAGTTGTAAGTGTATAGAGTTTTAAGTGTATAGAGCTGGTTGTTTGGTTGGTGTGTTGGTTGGTTGGATGGATGGATGGATGGATGGTTGTTTTGTGTGTTGGTTGGATGGATGGATGGATGGATTCCTTAGGCCTAGCCGATCGATTTGATGTCTCACATGTGTGGGTGTGTAATTCCATTTAGCCAGAAGATGATTGACCTCTCTCAACCAGTCAGGGGGCTGGGTGGGAGCGGGGCACTTTCCCACCTTCTGACGGTCAATCAAATTGAACGTGTTTCTACACACAGAACATACCACACAATAACACAGTATGTGCAAGCGCTTCACCTTAAATTATTTTTAATTCTCTTGTATGTTATTTTGTGTGTGTGTGTATGTGTGTGTGTGTGTGTGTGTGTGGGTGTGGGTGTGTGTGTGTGTGTGTGTGTGTGTGGGGGGGGGGGGGGGTCATTTTGCCTTGGCCCCCAAAATGTCTTGAAACGGCCCTGGGTGTGTGACTGAGTTTTGAAGGTGATCTGAATTGTATCAAATGTATAAATATTACATGTGTGTAGTGGAGATAAATCTACCTACATTTTACTTTTCAACACTTTGTTTTGTTTTCTTGTTTTTATTGAACTATTTTCCTGTTCTGTGTCTCTCATCTTCCTGCATCATTTTTGACCACATTTGACATACATATTTAAGTTTGTAGAACAAGCGTGAGATAATTGACTTACTGCTGGAAACCGCTGGCTTTTTGATTCCCTTCCTGTGAGCCTGCGGGCTGCTGTGAAGCTGTGAGCGAGGCAAAGCCGGCAGCCCCGCCCGTTGGAAACAGCGCGTGTGGACCGACCGTACCAACTTGAGGAATTGGGGGGGGGGGGGGGGGGGGTGGACTATAATTTCTCAACAATTAAAACACATTGTTTTGTATTTGCAGACTAACTTTTACGTTGTGGTTTTAGAAGACAATACAGGTTTACTGATAGCATTTATACATTTACAATAACTTTTTTTGGGGGGGACAACTTTGTGTGAGGGGGGGACGCTTCCCCCCCCCGTCCCCCCTGGGATCTCCGCCTATGCTCCTGTTAAAGAGAGAACCCTTGAAATCTGTCCTTCAGAAGTGAAATTGGACCTGTCAAACTTCTCATCACCATTCGAAAAGTACAGCACCGATTTGAAAAATTCAAAAAGCGTGAGTGGTAGAGGACTTGGATGATCATCTGTGCCGATTTGTATGTGCCTAACATGAATTGTCTAGAAGCTATGATGAGAAACGTTTAGCTGTCTGAAGCCGTTTTGAGGAGAAAATCTCTCTTCGTTTAACATGGGTTTCAATGAGAAAAGCGGGGTCTCTCCTCTTTCTGAGGCTTGTAGCGAAAGAACGGTAACACTTACAGATAAAATGAAACCCATTCTGAAAAGCTGACAAACATTCCTACTTTTTGAGGTATAATTTGTTACGGTAGTCCAAACGGTCTGGGCGTAGTGAAGAGTTGTTCACAGAAGATGTGAAGTTCAAAACTTAGAGTGGGGAATTTTCAAGTGAGAGTGATCAGAGACCTTTTTTTAAATTTGAATTTTCTCAAACAAATGAACCGTACGGCCACAATGTTTGGAGTACAGTCATGAATTATAGCTCAAAACAAAGGTATATTCGTTAGCTGCAAGCTAGTGTGTGTCTCATTTCAATCGGACCTACGGTTCTCTCGGGACAACGCCGGAAATGGAGCAAGGGAGGGTCACTGCTCCTATCTTTCTCCATTATAACTTTTGTGAATTTTTCTGAAAATTTCAAGTCGTACCTCAACTTCTACCTGCGATTTTAGAAAAACCGTAAAAGATATCAAAAAGCCTATTTAATATGTTAAACAGGAAAGTCTTGTGAGTTTGTTAAACTTTGAATGAAGTCTCTAAGTTAAAAGGAACCCTAGAGAGTTCGAGGTCAAAAAAGTGATAGGAATTTGCTGAAAATTGACCAATCCCATTCATTTCAATGGGAAATTTTTCGCAGTAAAAGCTTAATAACTCAAACAATTTGAAAGATATCAATGCCAAAAGTAATAGCCGGAAAGAGCTTAATGAGCTGAACGTTTTGATATAAAATGGTTGAAATAGCTCAAAATTTGAAGGAGAAGAAGAGGTTCAAAAAGTGTACGGAAGCAGAATATGGAAGAATAAAGAGAAACAGGAAAACAATAGTTTGAATGCTGAAATAGTTTGAATGCTTTTCAGCATTCAAACAATAAAGAAAAACAGGAAAACAATAGTTTGAATGCTTTTCAGCATTCAAACAATAAAGAAAAACAGGAAAACAATAGTTTAAATGCTTACCAGCATTCAAACAATTAGAAAGCTTTATTGTCATTGTACAACAACAAAATATGCTGCTGTCACAGCAAAATTGCAAAGGTGCTGATCCTAATATTTACATAAGACGAGTAAAGAAAAAGGAAAGCATAGGACAAAACAAAAGCACCATAAAAACATGGCTGCCATCTGAAAGTTAAATAATTGTCAGTAGGTTATTATAAATAAAGTTTTTGGCGCATGTGGGCATTCAGAGTGGTGATCACTTGGGGAAAGAAACTGTTCTTGATCCTTGAAATAAAAAATAGCTTTTTAATTGTGGTTGAAATGAATAACAATGGGTCAAAACATCTGTCAGCAGATTCTGGTTGAGTCACAGAAATCATTTGCCTGCAGTGACTTGCCTCAAAGTGTTCAACAAAGAATTAGGTTATGGATCAAATATTTCTGTTGAACCACAGTTTAAAAGTAATGAAATGATTTTCTTTATGTTTAGTTACCATTACTTTTGTCAACCTAAACATATTTCGGTGATTATTTAATAAATTAATAAATTCTGTGTATTTATGAAACTAAATAAGTAATTTAGTCATTATATTAGAAATTTTCATGTAGTAGTTTTCCCTCTGTTGTACTCGTTACATGTTTTTTATTAATCCAGAGAGCATCAGCTTCTCTGTTATCAAATCATTTCTATGATAGTTATCCCAGGTTGTGTGGCTTCTCCTCATGAAACCTACATAACATTATTTTGTTATCATTCGTTATGTTGGTAGCACAACTTTACTGACACATTTAAATAAGATGCACAAACCTGAATGAACAAAGCTGGTGTTTTCATTCTTTTGTGGAAAATTGAGTTAAAATGAATTCCTAACAAGTAGCCACTGTTTGGCTGTCAGCTTGTTCTTTATCGATCAAGTTAAGTCATATTTTTAATAGATTTGCAGTGGTCTCTAGTAAGAATGAATGCCTTGTAAGTTGTACTCCAGGGGAAAAAAAGCTCTGCTGCACCTGTTTGAGGACATAGGGGTCAGCTGGAGGACAGCTTCAGACGGCAGAATTTGGACTTCAATTTCCTGATATTTGGATATATCACCTAGGGCTGAACGATTAATTGCATATGCAATTAAATTGAGATGTGACAAAAGGAGATTTGACTGGCAGCGAGTGGTTAGCACAATGCTAATATACATTGAAAAACCGATAGGGATGCTAACGCTAATATCGCCAAATAGATTCTTACAAATTATGAATTAGGAACGTGCCAAATGATTACATTTAGAGTCTAATAACAAGTAAAAACTGCCATTAATCAAATAAGTACAGACAGATATTTTAGTAAAGCTAGAAAACTGTACTTCAACTCCACTGAGTTTTGGCTAGCAGCTGGGAACGTAACTGAACTACGGAAGCTCTGCATGGACAAGACGTCACTCTAAACACAAAAGACTTCAATAAATGGGACACACATCTTTCCTGCAAATAAATTTTCACAGGTGATGCTAATACCCATTCTCCTTCAAGGGATGCGCTCCTGGCTGCAAAGCATTGCACCTTCAAATTCAAGATGTTGTCTTTACTTGTGAGTGCTCATGTATGTGTAGACAAGTAAACTTGTTGATGTATGTAGATACATAAACTTGATAAACTTGTTTATATTCAGTACAAGTTACATAGATTTTTTTTCTTCTGTTAGTTGAAAAATGAAAAAAGCCCCTTGAGAAAATAATTGTGAATTAAATCGCAATTTGCAATATTGAAGAAAAAAAATCGTAATTAGATTTTTTTCCAAAATCGTTCAGCCCTAATCTCACCACACATTGGCTAACAGCAACACAACTCTACCACTGACTTAATTTGCTCTGCATTGTTGATGTTTAACCTCCACAAATAACACAAGCCTGAAGGAGTTGGTGGAGGTGCTACTGCTAATGGTTAGCTTCTACTAACCGAGTTTTTCTCTGCTGTTTCCTGGACGCTAAACCAACAACAGCCTCCCCCGTTGTGAGTCAAGATGGGTGACTCCATGAATGTTAAGCGACAGTGTGACATAGATCTGTCAAGCTTTTTTGAACCGAGCATTTTACCTTCTATTTTCCATAGAAGCTAATGCAAGAAATAGACTATTTTCACATTCAGTCTGCATGTTTAACTCAGAGTGACTGATAATTTTCAAAAATAAGCAATAGTAGTTTCTCAGTGAACCTGTTCTTCAAGTATTGCTGACAAAATTTGGAGGTGTGTTTACAATGAGAATCTTCAATAATAGTCGATAATAGTCAAGCTCCATGCACATTTGAGCTCCCTAATTGGTACACATTTTACTGGAGAAAAACAGGATTAACCAGAATCTGGTGGGATGCAGATTAGTTTAAGACACTTTTGCAAAGATGAGAATAAATGCAGAGTCACAAGGAGTCTGTTCGATCTGCTTTAACGGGTGTGTCTGTCTCTTGCATGAATAAGCTTTATGGGGGACAATAGCTTTGGGAGGACACGGCAGCACATTGAACGATAAAGCAACTGACCTGAGAGATATGATCACGCCTCAAATGAACACCAGGCAACCCAGATGCCAATTACAACGGCTGAGTGAAGTACCATCCAAAATCTTTGAAGATCTGAACAGTGTTGGGAGTAACGCGGTACAAAAGTAATTAATTACTGTAAAGCATTGCTTTTTGCTGTAATGTGGTAATGTAAGGCATTACAGGGAAAGAAAATGGTAATATTTACTCGGTACAATTGTCAGTAACGCAGTAATTACAATGCATTTTAAAACCCAGAATCAAGATGTGGGTTTCCTAAAAATTCAAATTGCGGGAAGCCTGAAAAAAGATCCAGTGTCCACTTATATGACGTCGTTTATGGACTTAGCTTTGCGGGCGTTCTATGAGCAGAGAGGACGCAGCGGTGATGGCTCAAATACTCGTCCTGCGCGCGGCCGCTGTTATATTCACTAAATCGCTCCACCAAAACAAAGTCATTCGTTTGCGATCGTTTATATCAGCCCATATTCTCTGGTACTTCATGTACTTTTCAGCTGAGTTCATAATCTGTGCCCCGGTGATTTCAACTCATTGTTGCTGGAGCGCAGGGCATATGAAGCTTTTTTATTTTTTTGCGTTGGGTAGATCCCTTTGGCTGATTAGTTAGAAAGTAGGAAATCTAGTTTACAGTTTTTCGGAAGACGGAGAAAACATGCAGCATGCAGGAAGGTTAAAGAGAGAAAGAGCAGGAAATTATTCAAATAAAATCAAGAAAACAAAACAGTGACCAGTGAAAAGCAATTATATATAAGCCTTTAATATTTATACATGTGATAGAATCAGATCACCCCAGAAGTCAGTCCCACATCCAGGGCCGTATCAAGGCATTTGGGGACCAAGGCAAATATAGGCTTGGAGCCTCCACCACCTCACTCCCTGCTCAGTTAATATAAGATGGCAGCGTGCTGAGAGTACAGATTGTTGTTGCTTTTATTTAATAAACAATCATTTTAAAGCACTGTTATTATATCTGACTGTTTTTAACAGCAATCCTAGCTCAGACACCAGATCACCTTCCACATATACTGTATGTCATGAACTCACTGAGCGTCGCATGACCAGATTCATTACTGAATTTGTATCGATGAAAGTAACAAAGTAATGCAAAAGTAGTGTAATGCCTTACATTTTAAAATCGGTAATATTGTAATGTAATGAATTACTTTAAAATGAGGGTAACAAGTAATAAATAATGCATTACAGTTTGGAAGTAACTTGCCCAACACTGGATCTGAATGCAGCATTGGGACCACCATCACTTCAGTAGCAGTGATCCTTGAGATGCTTGGCTCTGAGAGCAAGAGCAACCATGAGAAACAATACCCACCAGGGAAATGGAGGTTTGGAGGCCAAAATGAGGGCAGTACAGAGAGAGTACAATGAGAAAACTGTACTCAAGATACCCATACATTAAGTACTGGAAAATTGCCAAACAAAGGCTCCAGGCCTTGGTCAGCCACCTAAAGAGGTACAAAATCTTGACCTAACCAGCTTAAGTATACTCCCAGCGGCAGGGAAAATATAGCAGATCAGACCCACCAAGACTGAACAGTACTGGAAGGGCATATGGGAAAATGAGGCATCACACAACAGTGATGCACAGTGGCTAGTCTCCATGAGTAGGACCCAGTATCCATCACTGTGGAAGACATTCAAAAATATCACCCTGAATGGCTAACTGAAGGGCACACGATCTTGATCCTGAAGAACCCATCCAGTTATCGGCCAGTAATCTGTCTCTCTACCATATGGAAGCTCATGTCAGGAATTATAGCAGGCCCGGTCCCCTCTGTTGTTATGCATAGGTCTGAACCCCCTCAGTCAATCAACAAGACTAACCATGGACTCAAGAATGGAACCTCAATCAGCCACCTCCTCTACATGGATGACATACAGCTGTACGCCAAGAATGAGCGAGACATCGACTCACTGATCCACACCCCCAGGATCTACAGCCCTGATATCGGAATGTCATTTGGTCTTGATAAGTGTGGTCGGCTGGTGACAAAGAAAGGGAAGGTAGTCCACACAGAAGGGGTCTCACTCCCAGAAGGAACAATAGCAGACTTTGAGAACAGCTACAACTACCTTGGTATCCCACAAGAAAATGACAAACTCGATGAAGCCATAAGAAAAGGAGCCAGAGCTAAATACCTACAAAGAGTAAGCCAAGTCCTAAGAAGTCAGCTCAATGGCAAGAACAAGACCTGGGCAATTAACAGCTATGCCCTGCCAGTAATCAGGTATCCTGCAAGAATAATAAGCTGACCAAAGGAAGAAATACAAGCCACGGATGTTAAGACAAGGAACGTCCTAACCAGGGTTCCAACCCAAATCCAGCACCCTGAGACTGTACACTAGTCATAAGGAAGGAGGCCGAGGACTGGTGAGTGTGAGAGCCACTGTCGAGGATGAAACATCCAAGATCCATAAGTACATCAAGGACAAGGCCCCAACATTTGACATGCTCAGTGACTGTCTCAGACAATGGTGAACAGAGGGGGGGGATGCTGAAAATTATATTGTTGGAGGACCAACACCTACATGGGATGTACCACGGACAGATAACTGAAGTGGCCGATATCAAGAAATCCTACCAATCACTAGAAAGAGCTGGTCTGAAGGACAGCACTGAAGCACTCCTCATGGCTGCACAGGAACAGGCCCTGAACACCAGAGCAACAGAGGCCAAGATCTACCACACCAGACACGACCCAAGGTTTAGGCTATGCAACGAGGCCCCTGAGACAGTCCACCACATACCTGCAGGGTGTAACATGCTGGCAGGGAAAGCATACATGGAAAACCAAAGTGGGTAACACCCCTAAGATGGAAGAAAACGAGCAAGCCAAGATCCTGTGGGACTTCCAGATACAAACAGGTGATGGCGAACCAACCGGACATTGTGGTGGTGGACAAACAACAGAGGACAGCTGTTGTGGTTGATGTGGCGATACCAAATGATGTAAGATCAGGAAAAAGGATCACGAGAAACTAGAGAAGTACCAGGACCTCAAAGAAGAACTTGAGAAGGTCTGGAGAGTGAAGACATCGGTGGTGCCCGTGGTCATCGGCGCACTCGGGGCAGTAACCCCCAAACTGGAGGAGTGGCTAAAGCAGATCCCAGGAAAAACATCAGATGTCTCAGTCCAGAAAAGTGCAGTTCTAGGAACAGCTAAGACACTGCACAGAACCCTCAAGCTCCCAGGCCTCTGGTAGAAGACCTGAGCTTGAAAGGATGAGACCACCTGTGGAGGGTGAGATGGGATTTAAAAAAAATATATAAATACTTAGTTGCCATTTTTCTGATCTAGTTCATTTGTATTCTTTCATGCGGCCCCAAGATGAGCACATTCCTTACTTAAGAGATGAGACTGTTGGTTTAACAGGTATCCTCCTGATATATTTATCGTCTGTTCTTTACTCTGATCAAGGGGCGGCGTTAGGCCCGGCTACTTGGGCTCAAGCCCCGAATGTTTTATGAAAAGCCCCAGATCTAAAACGTGGAAGTAACATGCAGTACCAAAGTCCAACAGAGAGGGGGCAGCTGTCAGTAGTTTGTTTACAGCCTGCCTGAGCCTCTACCACAGAAGAAGAAGCTCTTCAGCAGCCGGCTTCTTCTACAGTCTCTGCCTGAAACGCATGAGTGAAGATGGACATAAGGACGTGAACCCCAGCTTTGATGACACTGGTGTTGACTCAGGTTTGTGAGTCTTATTTGAAAATATTTGTTGTGCTGCTGGTTTGCCTAAAGTTAGCTTACTATCAGGTAAAGTTGATGGAGAAAGAAAGGGAATATTTACTATCGTCTCACACTAAACACTAACAGGAACAATACTCTGCCCTGAATATGCTTAATATGTAGCTTCAGATTAAAAATTATGTGGTACAAGACATATATATATGATGTTGACTAGTGCGTGTCAAATGTGTGTGTGTGCACGTGCGTGTGTGTTTGTTAAGCCCCAGATCTTCTTCAGTCCTAAATCCACCCCTGCTCTGATCCATAGTACAGTAAATGCTAAAGTTGGTTTACAGGTTTTTACACAGTCTGCACACATGAGGAAGGTCTGTGTGAACTCAAATAAAAAGCCCGTTTGAGCCGAGCCGCTCATATTTTTATTATTACCGGTGCAAACCAGAGCAGAACATTTTCTGGGTCCCTTTTTTGGCACATCAGTGGAAATCTAAAGGTGCTTCTGTGTAAACCACTTCCCTTCTAATACATCCACAACAATCATTTCAACCTTCAAAATAAGAGTTTTTTTTTACATGTGATAACACAAATGTGTGAAATTAACTTTTCCTTTGTTTCATGAAGTATGTTCTAAATTCATCAGAGTTTCAGTTGATATTCTAAAGATTTACCGGAGGATTTTACCTCCCTGTTAACATTTTATAAAAGACAAAAAACAATTTCAGAACTGATTCCATGAACGTTGTAACAGTGAAGGAGGATCTAGTATTAATATACTGATGACAAATTTACCACCAGCCTTTAGAAACAAAGGCACACATTTTCTCCAGAAAACAAATCACCAAATATCAGTGTCTGAATTATTAGTCGCTGACTAACAAACAAAAAAATATAGATTTCTAAATAAATTACTTGTGCAGCTGATAAACACACCATCTGTCTTTCACACACCAGATTTAAGAACTAATTCAGAGGAAGCAGGTGAATTTCCAGCATGTTTCACTTCAAGTTTGAACGATTCTTATGGCACAGATATAAAACACAACGCTCACACAGAGCTGAGCCAGTCGGCACTGAGGGAAGAAACCAAACTCAGACTGATTAAAAGTTCTGGGAGAGAGCATGAATATTTTACCTGTGTTGGTGTTATGGGTAACCCTTAATACAAATATCTGGTTTCACCCTTTATTTAAAGCAAAACAGTTCAAACAAGAGCGAAAAAGTCCAACAGATGATAAAATAACTGACCGACCTGGTGGTGACAGTGCTAATGTTGGGCTATTTTTATTGTAATGATAACTTAGAATGTAATGGAAGAATGGATCTGCATTTTATTTTTTATCATCTGTGTATGCAAAGCTTCAAAGCTAAGAATTAAAATAAGACGTCAACATGTAGAGACGTCTATTTCTTAATTTTTCTGTGACAACCAGACAAGTTTTCATTTCTGTGTCAGGTTCTGTTTTTTTAATCGGGCCTGTATAGCCGACACCTCAAACTGATTGAGGGCTGGTCCTTGAGGGCCACTACCAGCACGTTGTCTGTTTCTCTACACACACACCTGGTTTTAATCAATGGGTGATTAAAAGACTTCAGAAGAACGTAGGAAGAGGTAATTCAGACGTTGAATCAGGTGTGTTGGAGCAGAGAACACCTAAAGCAAGCATTACAGTGGCCCTCCAGGACCCAAGTTAGGCCCTGTCCACACGTAGCCGGGGATCTGCCAAAACGTAGATATTTTTCTACGTTTTGGCCTGTCATCCACACAAAAACAGAGTTTTTTTCACACGAAAACGGATCTTTTTAAAAACTCCGGCCAAAGTGAAGATCTGCGTTTTCTCCGTTTTGGGTGTCTGCGTGTGGACAGACAAAACCGGAGTTTTAAGGTCCGCAACGTCACTTTCCGCGACAAAAAAATGCTGACATCACGTGTGCGACCTGTGTTTACACTAGCCGACAGCATGGAAGCCCTCAGAGCTGCGCTCGCTTTATCCATATTCCAAGTGCTTTTTGCTTGTTTGTTTTTGCAAGCGGAATTACTGCTCCTTGCGGAAGACCACAGACGAAGGACGAGGTTAACAACGGGGAAGTACTGCCGCCTACAGGTCTGGCGTGTCCTTAACAACGTATTTATCCGGGTACGTGTGGACAGTGTTTTTTTTTAAACGAGGTGGTGTGGATGCAAGTTTTTGGAGGGGCGGATATTCGTTTTAAAAAAAACCCGGCTACGTGTGGACTAGGCCTTAAACAGCCATGCAGTATAGCTCCGGTTAACTGCAGTAGGTCAGGGTGAGATATCTGGAAATTAAGCGTATGCTGGTACTTCTTTCACTACTCTCTCCCAGAGAAATATTTTTTGAACACCTAGAGCAAATAATTGTGACCTTATTGCAAACCTAACACATCAGGGGGTCAAATGAGTCATTTAAAGAGCAAGTCACTCCAAATCAACATTTTTTTGCTGATAAACTATATAAATGAGTGTCTGATCGTGCTGCAGCCACGTGTAGTCAGTAATTCGGCATTTTAGTTCATCTTAGTTAAAATTTAAATATTCTCCCTAAAACTGTCAGTGATGCACCATCGTCAGGTAAAAACTCAGCACTGCATTTGAATTTAAATCTGCCATTGCTATTGGCTAAGAGATAGACTATGATGTTAGATGGTACATTATGATGTCACAATATCGTGAGTGTGTGTATTTGTCGGCGGTACCCTCCACCCTCTCGGTCTGCTAGGCAACAGCATTTGATACATTTTTCAAACAGGAAGTGGGAGTTGAGTAAGAATCTGGTAGGGGGTGACTTGCTCTTTAAAGATGGATCTCCCTCAGCACGAGCCTGACTCTGTATGAGAACATCTGAGGTTTATAGATTTGTTTGATTTTCTGAAACAAAACTCGTTTTATGTTTCCCTGGAACAAATTGAAAAAAACTGCAGCAAGAATAAATAAATAAATATCAGACATGAACGGGTCTAATATGACTTCTTATGTTTTTATGACAAGGGAGTTAAAAAGTCAAATTTTGAGTTTTCAGGTTTAAAAATGATTTCCTATCTGTGTCTCTGCCACAACTTAAAAATAAGCAAAATAAAATTGTTACTTTAGATTTTTTCATTTTCAATTTGATCAAGTTTCTTAGCAGAGATGTTTTGTAACGAAACTTTTCTGAAATGGGCCTCAGAGTGGGTTTCCAGATCCAGGGTGAGCGTGTAAAATGTCTCCTGAACTTCAGAGACACGAGGTATAAAGTTCTTTATCTCACGTTTGATCGCTCAGGACACTGGTTGTCCCAAACTAGAGGGGGACCAGACTGGAGCCAGGAGAAAACCTTCCTCAGTTCTGTTTCCTCCCATCATTCTCCTCTTCAACTCCTACAATCTTTATATAAATAAAAATCAGACACAAATGTGCCCTCCTTCGTTTGTTTCCTCTTCTGTCTGACTGCTACCTGATCCGTCCGTTCTCTCTGGGTGTGCTCAGTTCAGATTTGGGGTCGGGGCTAGCTGAACTCCATGAAGTGAGGTGGCAGCGCTTCATGATGGGGCAGGCGCTTGGGCCCATGGAGCAGATGTCTGAGGCAGCCCAGTGGCCTTCCAGGAGCCCATCAAGCCAGTGGTGCAACAGCGCCCCCGTCAGGCCAGAGTTGGCCTCTGCCTCCTCCACAGCACTGAGGCTCACAGGCAGCCTTAAGACTGGGTTCAGACCATGGAAGCTCTGCTCCATATAGGAGTTCCTGGCTGGACCTCCGTGAAGCCGTAGCGCTTCCTCTGGAATAAGGACAACGAGGGAAGACAAGGTTCATTTTTACAGTGTGGAACAGAATCAGATTTTTCTCGACCTAAAGATCAACAGCCAGAAGTAGAAGTAGGAATCTTTATGCGCCTCATGGCTGAATAATGATTCATTGAGCTGCGGTTGATTTTTTAAACAATCATCTATGGATATTGATTCATCTGCTACCCCTCTCACACCTCTTCTCTCTGTGCAACTAGGTGAACAAACAAATTGAGTGACATCCCCCCCCCCCCCCCCCCCCCAAAAAAAAACCTTTGCTTTCAATAACTTCATAATTAAAATGTTTCTGGCATAAAAAAAAACAGAAATCAGCTCTCATATAAACATGCTTGTATAAAATAATGCAGGACTGGATCGGGCCGTACGGACAGGACTGCACGGTTCAAAGCAGGTCGCCCGTCACATCTCATCGCCTCCATGTCGCCTATGTTCATTCATCATGTTGCATTAGTCATGTGGTGTTCTCTGTGCACCAGCACACCGCCTGCTGAGGTTAAACAAATCAGTGTGGAGGAGCAGGAGGCTGAACCCAACAGAGGTGACCCAGTGTGCATGAGAAAGCGGCAGAATACTGACACTATAAATAAATGGTCACACAGTGCTGACAGCTGTGACAGCGGGGCCTCTGTGTGTAACTCGAGTATTAACTAGGCCCTGCAGTGTCTGAGACGTTTGCAGAGTTCAGACTAAAACTTTGTGTCCAAATTTTGCATTAAATAGCTAACGATTTAAAGATGGTGTAAGTAAACACCACTTTTCCTCTGAGGGGAAGCGTGGATTCTTACCTGACAAAGTGATGGCCAAATTAATACAGAAAAACAAAAGGCCAACTAAACTGAAATACCCCTTACCACAGAACAAGAGTCTCTGAAACCTCAATAAATTTACAAAGATCCCACTCAGTGACTTCATTCTAAAAACCAAAACAAGTTGTATAAAGTGATTTTACCTTCAGAAAACCTTAATTACAAAAGGTCAAAAGGTCAGAACAGAACATTTCCCCCCAAAACAACTGGAATAGCCACTCTCACCTTTCTGAATGGGTTGCTGCTGGTGGAACTCCAGAGGAGCAACAACAAAGCTGGTCTGGCCCAGCAGGTTCCAGTGATGCAGGACCCTCAGGGTCCAGATGCCCGGTCGCAGTGGGGAAGTGAGAGGCGGCCTGTAGTGGGTGACCTCGGCAGACGCGTCCACCAGGATGTCGTAGGTGGCGGCGATGACGTTAGTGGGGTCAATCCACACCACTGTGGCTGTCAGGTTGCTCTGGCTTCGGCTCCAGCGCTGCACGGCCACTGGCTCGTCCTCAGGTCCAAGCAGACCCCCCCAGTTTCTGAAGAGGCGCTCCTTTGGATCCCAGTCTGATCCAACCTGGAAAAGTTCCAAGAAAAGCCTGAATCTCTCGAGGACAATGTGTGAAGCTCAGATATGTGAGGTGATGGAAATTGTCTTGGCTCTAAGCAGCATCTGACTGAAGCATGTTCATGCTTTTAGTTGCCTATTCAAAACCTTCTGCTTTTGTGTTAAAGTGAGTTATTTGCCACAGGTTTAGGGTCAGCTTTGGGGAAAAACCTCAAAAACCATAGAAGCACTCACAGTACCTCACCCCACACAGTACGTTCTAATGCCAAGATACCCTACTGTCTTTTAAATCGGTCTTGATCTGTATCTCCAAGCTTTTTCAACACTGGACAGAAAACGAGCAACAAAGCAGCCAAAGTGTCAAAAAACAAAAGTGCAGAGAATAATAGACCAAGACCATGTTGGTATGTGTGAGTCTGACCTGGATGTGCTGCAGCCTGTTGTTGGTGTTGGGTAAGTTCGCCAAGGTGAAGTGATCTTTAGGTGTCACCCAGGTCTCCAGGCTCTCCAGCTGAGCAGATGCTTGGTTAGTGGCCACAAGATGCACCAGGTAGCCCAGGAACTGGTCCGACAGGAAGTAAAGGTGCACAGACACTGGATGACTCATGGCTACGTACCTAAAAGACAAAGTGTTCATCATATCTCCAGTAACATGAACCAGCCCTGAACCGGTTGAGGTCAGGTCACACATCATGCTTCAAAGGGAAGAGAGGCAACGACGTTTAATAGCTTCTTTGTGAACTGCTGGACGTTACCCCTGCTGGTCTGTGGATATAACGCAGTCTTCAGCACCTTCTTGGTTTTTCTTGCAGATCAGATAGTCCTAGATTTGTTTTATTCACTTTTTCCAAAAGTCTTTGCAAATCTCCTCCTTGCGTCACTCCCAAAATAACCACAGTTCTGTTTGGAGCCATTTGTTAATTAAAAGCTAGGGGAGCTGGGTGTATATTTAAATCGCTGTATCAAGAATTATTTCCATGGATACTGGACTTAGAGAAAACACAGAAAAGACCCTAAACTCTGGAACAGAACGGCATCCTCATATCTCTTTTTTGAGTTAATTTTATGTCTGTTCTCACTGGACTGTGACGCCATGTCGAGCTGGTTTTACTCCTTTTGATATTTGTTCATTTCTGCTGCAATTTTGCTTATTTTCAACCCTTTCCTCTGTGGCACTCCTATATCTATTTTTATTGTTTATATCTTGATTTATAGAGCACTTTGTTTTAAGTGTTTTTTAATAAGCTATACAAATAGACTGAATTAGAATGAATTGATGAGACAGCTGTTGGTTAATTGGAAACAATGCAAGCAACCTGTGTAAAATTTGGAAAGGATAAAAGAGAATTTAGGGACATAAATATGAATCTGACTGGCTGTAAGGGCATTTATCTCTAATAAACCTGTGTTAGTCTGCTACTGTCAGTGAGCTGCATGAGGATTGGCCACCGTGCTTCCTAAAAGGATTTTGTTCTGCTGTAATTTGCATTAGACATGATGGTCACCAGAGCCGAAAAATGTTTAGATCATTAAAATCCTAAAAAGTTTTCTACTTTATACAACGTTCGTACTGAACCCACAAAGTCTGAACCTGTGGACAAACATATGAGGAAAACAAACTGAAAGTTGTGATTTAGACAGAGAGAGGCTTTAAGATGCTGGACATGTTAAAAAGAACAGACTGGTCATTTTAACCTGCTCCTCCTCACCACACACACACACACACACACACACGCACGCATGTCCCATAATTTTGCCTCCACCCTTCCTAACCACCAATCCCCACCCACACTCCAGCAACAAGAACCCCCTTGTAGCCTTTGGAGGTCTCCACCCACCCACCCACACGCACGAATGCACGCACACACACACACACACACACGCACGCACACACACACACACACGCACGCGCACGCACGCACGCACGCACGCACGCACGCACACACACACACACACACACACACACACACACACACACACACACGTACACATACACACACACACACGCACACGCACACACACAGCTGGAACACCTCAGCCCAGCAGAAACTGAAGGCTGATTGTACCTCAGGACAGACGGGCCTTATCTTCTTATTTCATTTGGACTGAATGGACTTCACCGGTGGTGAATTTTGTGGAAACACACATTTCGTGGAAACACACATTTCATCAGACTCTCCTCCCTTTTCCCTTCAGACGCTGACTAAACGATGTCTCTGTAACATTTTCAACAGGTTGCGTAACCTGGACACGCACATTAAAAAGTCCCTAGCAAGAAGTTATGTGTTGAATGCTAAATGTGTTTTTTTGCTACAGACATAAAAAACGCTTAAGATGATAAATGAAACAGTCCTTCTAAAGAATTATTTTTAAAAGACTGTTCAGAACTTTTTTGTATTCATACATAAAAACAAAACAATGTTCCAGTCCGGATTTTGTCTAGTAATGCTAAATGAGAATTTAGATCTGACGTCCAACGTTTTGAAATCAACCATCCCTAATATGATCTAAAAGCAATGGACAACTGGTGGCTGTCTAACCCCTTGTGGACTTTTGTTGCAAAACGCCCAAACACCAACTTCCACATGAAGTATTAAGATTAGTACCTTCACCATAAACCATAAACACACATCTGCTGCTCTCTGTTGGAGGATGTACAGGTGGCAAGGGCCAATTTTATTTAAAGCTGGTATGGCAAATGTACAAAACAACAGAACTTCCTCCCTCCCGTCAGCTATCATCCCTACGCCTGGTCTGCTGGAACCAGAGCCCGCATTGCCAGAGGAAACAAGAGAGCACTAAACACCAGTCGCCGTCTTCTAGGTCCAAACATCTTTTGACTGCAAATGGTGATTATCTTTTTGGGACTTTGGTAGTGTGTCCTAAAGTTGAAGTGGTAGCAGCCGGATGTTTCTCCTTCTGATATTATTGGGTGGAGATTCTCTCACACCAGTGGTGTTCTTTTGCTAAATACGTGAGTGTGTGATGAGTGGAGGATCCAGGAAGTGCGGCGGTTCAGTGAGATGGTCTAATAGTTGCTTTCTTATTGTTATTGGTGGAGGTTTTTAGACAAATTCAAACCACTTCATTATTTTTCTGTTTTTTTTTAATCTCCACAATGTATTTATGATTACACTATGCTAGAACGTTGTTAGGAGGAATGAAAAAATGTTTTAGCCTAGCTTGTTTTCTAGATGTGCTTTTGTAGCTTTAAATAGTTGTAATTTTGGTTAGGCATAATACATATCAAAATTAAACAGATTAATGTATAATTATCATTAGCCAATTTATAATTCAGCTTTTAAAAACTAGATTTTTTTGTTTTAATTTTATATTTCAGACTTTCACCCATCCATCCATTGACTGAACCCGCTTTGTCCATGTAGGGTCGCGGGGGTGCTGGTGCCTATCTCCAGCGGTCAATGGGCAATCAGGCGGGGTACACCCTGGACAGAGAGCCAGTCCATCGCAGGGCAACACAGAGACACACAGGACAAACAATCATGCACACACACACACACACACACACACACACACACACACACACACACACACACACACACACACACACACACACACACACACACACACACACCTAAGGACAATTTAGACAGAGCAGTCAACCTAACAGTCATGTTTTTGGACTGTGGGAGGAAGCCGGAGTACCTTGAGAGAACCCACGCATGCACAGGGAGAACATGCAAACTCCATGCAGAAAGATCCCAGGCTGAGAAGAGAACCCAGGACCTTCTTGCTGCAAGGCAACAGCTCTAACCACTGCACCACTGCACAGCCTTATATTTCATACTTTAAAGATTTAACACTAGAAAGGCCATGGCAGTCATTCTGACCGTTTTGCAAGTTGAATGTTTACTTACTTTATCAAATAAAAACATACAAACTTTTCCTCAAACAGTGTAAATTTTTGTTTAAAATGGATCTCATGTTTATTGTCCAAGAGACAAATGAAATATGATCATTTATAACTATTTTGGCCAGAGGCAGTCATTTTGACTGCCAGAGAGTTTCTCACTGTTTTCCCAGGGCAGGATACAAACAAAATGTCAAGACAGGGAATTTTACAGTAAAAGAGGATATTTGAAATCTAATCAGTTTTTCTCATCCTTGTAATTTTTTCACTTTGTCTTTTATGACTAAAATTTAAAGAAAGAGAGAAAATGGCACAGAGCCGAGGCGTAAAAGAAACATTAGCATAACAGAAACATTACCATAACAATGGAATTGACTGATAACATGGACAATTAATTTTGAAACTGTTGATCTGGGTGTTTATAAGTTTTTGTTTTGGGGTTGAAAAAACATTGTTTAGCCAATTAAACAAAAAAATATCCAAAATTATAAACTTAAAAAGTGAAATAGTTGAGTTTTAAATGCAGCAGTGACTGTTCAAGGCTTTCTAGTAGTGGTAGCATGGTGACCTTTCTAGTGGTTAACACAACCTGGCAGCACCTGTAAATGGGATGTTATGGCTTGACTTTTTAAATACGGAAGAAGATGTTTGATCTAATATTTAAAATTCTGAAGGTTCAGACCAGGTGCTAACATGTCCTGAATGGTCTGATCGCAAGAAGACAGCTCTAAATCCAGGAGTGCATGCACAGAGTGACTAAATATGTACATTAAATCACACAGATCACATTCAGAGATGAACTGAGAAACATTCACCAAGAGACACATCAGAGTGATGGCATGTTTAGAGACCGAGATAATACTTTTTTTTGTTTTCCTGAAACGATCTTACCTGCAGCTGTTATCGTTAGGATGTCCCTGCAGTGAGGCGGCGGCGCGGGACAGTCCCATACGAGCAAAAGCATGATAGTGACTAAGTGTTGAATCCGACAGGGTGGAAAGTCTATCCGTCTCTTGCTCGAAGATGTTCTCCCAGTAGGCTTGAAGCCCTGGAGTGCCAGGAGGATACTCTCCAAACAGGAAGGCATCCAGCTGGCTGATGATCTCCTGATTGACGCTGGCCTCAAACTTCCGGGCAAAGAAGGTGGGCCTGGAGGCCTGCTGTTGTCCGAAGAGAGAGCAGGATTAGATTCCTCTAATGTTCAACTAAAAACCACTCTGGAAAAATATCACTGTCTCAAAGAAATAAAGGAAGAAAATTAGGACTTCAAGATTTCTAACATGCTAACAGTGAAAAGCCAAAATAGTTCATATTTTGTTTCATTAGCTTACTTTTTCTGTTAATATTCAACAATTCAACAGTTTTTAGGGTTAGAATGAGTACTCTGACTTCACTTGACCTTTAAATAATGCGTGTGTTCCTGTACATCCCGTACATGTGTGTTCCTGTACATCCCGTACGTGTGTGTTTCTGACCATGAATATTCAGTTGCCTCTTGCTGCCGAACCCTGACATTATAATAATCACAACCCTCGAAACCTCGGCGGCTGCCAGCTACAAAGATCTAAAAATACATGCCGCCTCTCGCCAACAGCTGTTCCAGGATCAGCTCTTCTTACATGAATCAGCTGCAGCTCTACCACACACACTGACCTCAGATCTGTCGTTACAAGGAGGAGAGCACCACCACTGCTAATTTGTGAATGTGGAGTTATTCTGGGTCCCTGGCGGCCCCTGAGAGGGAACGATGTCAAGCTTCAGGAAGCTGCTGCATGAATATCACATTTCATAAAAGTAGCCAAAAGTGAAAATAAAGACTGATGTGAAGTTTAAAAGAGATCAGCTTTGTTTCATGTGGGTTTTAGAAAATGTCATCTTCAGCAAATCATTTCAGGAATCTGTAAGGTCTCAAGCTACAGCGTGTTTCTTTTAGGGAATTGTTCTGTTTGATTAAGTCAGTCTGTTGAAACATGGATGAAGTCATGACCAAGTGGCCACACTGAAGCTCATCAAAAAAGTGAGAAAAATCTAATCTTATGTTTATGTTTATGTATTTAGCAGACGCTTTTTTCCTAAGCGACTTACAAGTGATAATCGGCATGTTGCCCTTGAGGCTAACAACAACAATAACAACAACTTGACATCAATCATGGAGAGGAGGGAACAAGGAGTGGACAGAGAGGGTGGACGGTGCAGGGAGGGTGCTAGTTAAGAAGATGCTCTCTGAAGAGCAGGGTCTTCAGGAGTTTCTTGAAAATTGAAAAGGAAGCCCCTGTTCTGGTAGTGCTTGGTAGGTCATTCCACATTTGTGGAACGATGCATGAGAAGAGTCTGGATTGTCCTGAGTGTGGTGTAGGCACTGCTAGGCGACGATCCTGTGATGACCGGAGCGGCCGGGTCGAGACGTAAGCCTTTGCAAGAGGATTCAGGTAGATGGGAGCCGTACCATCTAAGACTTTGTATGCTAGTGTTAGCAATTTGAATTTGATGCGTGCTGCTAGCGGTAGCCAGTGGAGCTCAATGAACAGAGGGGTGACGTGTGCTCTTTTTGGCTGATTGAAGACCAGACGCGCCGCTGCGTTCTCGACCATTTGAAGAGGTCTCACAGTACTGGAAGACCAGTTAGAAGGGCGTTGCAGTAATCGAGGCGGGAGATGACAGTAGATTGCACCAGGAGCTGGGTGGCATGTTGTGTTAGGTATGGTCTGATCTTTCGTATGTTATACAGTGCAAAGCGGCATGAACGAGCAACAGAGGCAACATGATCTTTAAAGGTCAGGTGTTCATCAATCACAACACCCAGATTTCAAACTGCCTTTGAAGGAGCCAGAGATAGGAAGTCATTTTGGATTGAGATATTGTGCTGTATGGATGGTTTTGCTAGGATGACAAGTAGTTCAGTTTTAGAGAGGTTGAGTTGGAGATGGTGGGATTTCATCCATTTTGATATGTTAGAGAGACAGTTTGATATTCGTGCAGAGACAGTTTGGTCGTCCAGTGGAAATGACAGATAGAGCTGGGTGTCGTCTGCATAGCAGTGGTAAGAGAAGCCATGTGATTGAATGATCTCACCCAGTGAGGTGGTGTATATGGCAAAGAGAACAGATCCTAGTACAGAGCCCTGGGGGACTCCTGTGGCAAGATGGTGCATGGTAGAGGATTGTCCAAGCCAAGATACACTGAATGATCGTCCTGTGAGGTACGATTCAAACCAGACGTGTGCTTTCTCTGTGATGCCCATGCTAGAGAGTGTGGACAAAAGGAAGCCATGGTTGACCGTGTCAAATGCAGCCGTGAAGTCGAGCAGGAAAAGCACTGAGGATCTTATTTCCTTGATTTTCTTGTACGTTTTTGCTTCCAGAGTGAAGGTTTTTCAAGGTTCCCAAAGGTCTGAATAAGAGGCAGAGCTGTTAAGAGTTCTTCTCTAAATAAAACATTACAATCTGTTTATAAAGCAGAATAGTTCAAACCAGAGTACGATGGTGGTCAGAATTGTATAAAATATATAAATATTACATGCTTATAAATGATTGCTTTTTGAAGTAAAAAACGTGTAGAGGGATAAATCTACTTACCTTTTCTTTTTCAAGAACTTTGTTTAGTTTTCTATTTTCTATTTTCCTGTCCTGTCTCTTTTCTTCCTGCATCTCCTCTCAATCCTCACAAAAAAGGCTGCCTAGTTTTCACCTCACCTTACATTTGAACCAAGCAGATCAATGGGATCTACCAGCTAGAAAAAACAGCGGCGTGCACACTGCGCAGCCACATCAGTGAGGTGAAGTCACCGGAGCACGGGTGATGAGCTCTGCTGCAGCACAGGAGTGCATCAAGCCAACACATTTTCACATCCGAAGCTTCGAAAAATAACGATGGGTGACCAAGAGCTTGTTTCCAACATGTTGGGAGGCGAGGCGCTGTGCTAGAGCGTTGGTTTCTGACGCCCACATTAAAACGTGCATTTAACCAACATTTAACCTCTAAGCTCGTGCTACTTAACCTTCCCCTGTCCCACATCCTAACCTGAACCCCGTTTCTCATTCTAAACTTCCCGTTAACCGTGTTGGAGAGTGACGTTACAACTAGAAACAAAGTTTTGCATTCGCAAGAGGGTTAAGGTTAGGATGGGGGTGAGGGGAAGGTTAAATAGCAAGAGGGTAAAGGTCACAATTTGGTGAAATCTCCGTTTTACCGTGGCAGTCAGAAAATGATGCTCTGGCACAGCGCATCGCCTCCCGACGCACTGTGGCTCCCAGCGCGTCACCAACAAACGCTTGGTCACCTATCGTCATTTTTCTCGGGTGTGAGAATGTGTTCGTCAGGCACAAACAAAAAACAGAAAGTACCAGAGAATATTTGCTGAAATGAACGATGATGTGTTAAGTATACTTTTTTGGTGCCACCCTGGGGTGGACTGGCCTATCTGGCATTCTGGCACTGTCCTGGTGGGCCACTTAGCCAAGTGGGCTGCTTGCCCCGCTTGGGCCGACACTACTCCACAGTTGGTGATCTGCAGAACATTAGCTACATGATAACCCGAAGCTAACAGAGTTTTTTCAGGCATTTTTAGCAAGAAAAATGCAGTAGAGCGATGACGTAGGAGTTGTTTTATCACGTTAGCATGTAGCTAATGTCCCGCTGATTTCCGCCCGTGGAGAATGAGCTGATGTGGAAGGCCACGGCTCCCGGTCGCAGCGGTCGGGCCCTGCTTGTAATTTAACAGTCCCAGTCCATATTAGATCTCACATTCGGCCTAGAGGCAAGTCCGCAGGTGGCAACACCCCCACCCCCACCGTTTTCCCAGTGGGGAGGGCCGACGATTCGTAAAAATGCCAGGGCCGAATTTTGGTCCCAGTCCACCCCGGGTGGCACCACTTTGAGAATGTTACTGTTACCGTGCGCAGGACGCTGCTGCCTCAACAATCAGTGCTCTCCGTCCTCTCTGCTCAAAAGAATCCCCGGTATGCTTAGAGTCCATATAAATAATGTCATATAGGTAGAAACAGGATCTTTTCTTGGGCTCTCCCAGGGTGTGTAAAATAAGGGCTTCTAGGAGAGCCTGGCTCCCCTAGCTCCCCCGTAATTCAAACCCTGGTTACAGCAATCAAACAACCATCTAATCTTAGACATTCTCTAAAGCTGGAGGAATCAATGAGTTACTGAACATCTTTCTGTTATCAAATCACTCTCTAAATTTCTGTATACAATCTAACTGCCCATGAATGTGACCATTGTTTTCTCTGTTGTTTGTTTTTTTGGGATTAAACATCCGTCTGTCTCACCTGGAAGCGCAGCAGGTCTGAGGGCTTGAAGTCATTTGGTGAGCAGCCGCACCAGTCCACGATGTGCTTGTACTGACATTTACATCCCAGTTTGCGGTTCCAGTTGGTAAGTCTCAGATTGTTGTCCACCATGGTCTCACAGAGGACGCTGTTCTCCAGCACAGTGTGAAAGAATGACTGTTGGTGGGAGGAAGGAAAGCCAGCCAGGCGTCAATATACATACTTACTTGTGAAAAGGACTTTAACAAATTGTTATAAGGTTAAAATATGTTAAATTAAAATATAGTTGTCTGACATCATTAATGGGAATCTACATCATCTGTCCCTTTTCATGTCATGGCAGCAAGCGATAACCAGTATTTCCAGATTTGGACTTCAGAGTGTGTTTACTTTCTAGCAGTGTGGCGCGTCTGGGGCTTAGTGTGTGTGTATCACCTCGGCAGGCAGCAGCGTGTAGGTGTAGAACCGTTTCATGCGGCTGACCAGCTCATCCTTCGAATTCACAACATAATCCACAAACGGCCGGTTGAGCAGGAACCAATCAGAACCTCCATCCACAGCAATCCCCTCTGGGATTTTTCTATCTCCAAGACGCCACATGTGGGTGTCACACTCGTAAAAGAGTCGGTCCAGACCCTGTTTACGGATGAAACTGAGCAGAGACACAGAAAAGTTTGGACTTTTATCTCACAAACTACCCATATATTAAATAACTGCAGCTGTTAGCCCAAGATAGATCCATAAATCAGTTAAGATATCGCTCCCACTGTCCTGCTTGTTTCAGGTGTTTCTCTGCTCCAGAATATTTGAAAATAAATAAATAATAAAACCTAGCCTATTAACAGGCTTCTGCAAAGATAGGGCCAAGCTGAAGAAGTAGTTCAAATAATCAGGTGTGTTGGAGAAGAGAAACCACTCTTGTAGGACACTGTCCCTCCTGGACCTGAGTCAGGCAGCCCAGATTTATTAGGTTTCCAACAGAACCAGCAAACCCAGTCAAGGACAAGCCAGTCTCAATGTTTTAAAAACAACCAGGAAGAGACGACGCTGATGATTTATCAGCCATTATGGTCCCAGTTCACCACAGTGTTTTCCTTCTTGTGCTGCCAGCCAGTCATTAAGGAACAATCTTCTAACCACCAGTGTGCTACAGCAAACTCAGGAGTGTCAACTCAAGCTGCGTTAGTTCTTCCTGTTTTCACAAACTGATGCTGATGACTCAACAGAAAAAACTAAACTAACATCAAATATATATAGTTTTTAACAAACCACATAATAAATGAACAGAAGGATCACCTCCACCAGTTTTTTTTTTGCATGAGACCTGCAAAAACACCTGAATTCAGCAGATTTTCTTACCGTGCATTGTCTCTGCCATGAGATTTGATGAAGTTCATGTTGCGGTAGACAGACAGGAACGACACCAGCTGCTCGTTGGTTCTGAGGAGAAACAGCATCAACTCACATACGGATCTACACCTCTAATCAGGTGACATAAATGGGGGCGGGGCTTCTGCTCACTCACATGGTGGCGGTGTTGATATTTAGCTCCAATGACCAAACACCGGGATTCACTCAAACAGCCTAAAAACCACAGCTGGTTTTCTTTAGCTTTTAATGGACTATTTTATAATCAGGATTCAGTTTCATTTGAAGGATGCGTCTCTTTTTTTAAACAGTCTTTCATTTAAACAAATTTGTGTTTCTGTTGGGTTTATTTTTCTCTCTGCAGCAGGGCCTGAAGAGGAGGCAGATTATCCTGATGACATTAGTCAACACAAACTGCACATGTGTGCTTGTTACCCTGCTGCTCATGTTTCTCTGAACACGTCTCATGAGGAAAACGATGAGCTTTATGGTGGATAAAAAGATGCTTTGATTTTGTTAATGTAGAAAAAATAGTATTTACTTTTCTAACTGTTCTCAAATAATATGCAAAAGATAAAAGAAACAATATGCAAAACGCACAAGTCTCTAATCAAATCCTAAAACAATGTAGTAATGAATTAGCCTGGTGAACTAGATCAAAGTCTTGCTTTCCAAACTTGTATATTCACATGTATAGGTTGGCTTGCCAGGCTAGTTATTGTATTTTTTCTAATGTGATGTATGAATTAGTCAGATTACTGAAAGTTAGAAGCATTTAATACTGTTTAGTCCGAGTAGGACCGGTTAGAACCCAACATCGGTTTCTGCCATCTAAAAATCACTGTGGCGGATTAATCATGATGGATTGAAAACCAACGTGGGACTGTAATGGTTTGAACACACTGCAGTTGTCCCCATTTGTGCATGTGTTTATCCCAACCTGTTCAGTCAGAACTAATGTGTTGCTACAACCTGAGGGCGTTGGAAGAGCTTTCTGCAACCGATCTACAACTTCATTTATGAACACCCGAACTGTCCACTTCAAGTGCTTATCGTTATTGACTCAGAAAAGACAACAGAAGGTTTGGTGTTTAATAAAGAAACGTGGTCAGATTGATTTGGGACTCAAACGTCTGAGTGACCTGAGCAGGAATTCTATTAGAGCCAACTTTCTGTGACTGCTGGTGTAAAACTCAGTGTGACCTTCTGTTGGCGGAGGAACTGATCTTCTTCTGTCCTGTAGTGACCTCTGTGACCTCACTCACATTGATGGATGGGCGGTACTGATGCTGCAGCGGTGTTATAGATTTTAGCTGGAAGCGTGTTCAAAGCGTCATGTTGACAAAAGAACAAATCCGATTGTTTGAGTTCCTGTTTTCTTTTATCAGGAACATGAAAAGCACAACACAACCCAGAGGGAGATGGTTACATGTTCAAGCTGGCTTTCCTTATGACCTTCTTCATCACCTTATGCTGCTCTCCCTACATATTCCACCTTCCTCAGGATCCACTGATTTCCCTCTTTCCTATTCACTCTTCCTTTCTTTCTTTACATGTTTAAATCACAACAGTCTATTTTTGCTTATTTTAAAATACATTTTTTAATCATTTTCTAAATTCTTTTTTATATTTTACATTTTTTGTTTTTATTAAGCGCCTCCAGATTTTTATCTTGAGAGGCGCTTTATAAAAGATTGTTTGTTCTTGTTCTTCTTCTTATGCTTAGGTAAATTTGAGTTGGGGGGGGGGGGGGCGCTTTCCCCATTCATCTTCAAGTGTTTAACTCAGAAAACATTTTACCATCTAATAAGCTAGCTGATGACCAGCAGAACATTTAGAACATATTAAACGCCAAAGATCTTTTCACTTTATTCTGTCAGTCTTGTGTATTGTAGTCATTTATATCTGAATGTTTCAGTTAAAATCTGATAAGGTCTGAAGGAACTCTTTATAGGTCAACTTGACTCTTATTTCTATGGTGTAAGCTCCAGTGTGCCTGTTTGAGGACACAGAAGTCAGCTGGAGGACAAAGTAGCTTCAGACGGCAGGATTGGAGTCTAATTTCCTGATATTTGGACATCTCGCCTCGGACTGGCTAACAGCAACATGACTCTACCACTGACTCTGTTTGATCTGCAACGTTGATGTTCTATGTCCACAAATAACAGAAGCCTGGAGGAGTTCTGCTGTGTGGTGGAGTTGCTAATGCTAACATTTAGCTTATACTTGCCGAGAAGCACTCTCTCTCTCTCTCTCGTTTTGTGTTGCTCAGCCATCAGACCTGTGGATCAGCTGATCCAGAGGCAGAGAAAAAGGATAAACCTCCAACGTTATTTTAACAAAACAAAAATCGCAGCAAAGCATCATTTTACCAGCAGTTATTGAGGCAAAACGTTACTTTCATGAGCAAAAAACCCATAAAAATAATTCAATGAATCAAGAAAGCAGGAGTAAATGTTATTCTGTTTTACATTTTTTTAACTTCAGTTCAAACTGTTTAGAATTTAGTGTTTTCATCATATTTAGCTTGTATTTTATTTAATATATTCAGCTTTATTAGTTTCATGATAATTTTTGTGTTGCATTGTTTGCAAAAATAATCATAAAATACAATTACTCGAAAGGTTTTAAATAACTAGCATTTAAATAACATTTAAAGTTCTTTAAATGTCATTCTATAGTTTTGGGAAGTTTGTTTTCATTTATGACAAAAAAGCTGAACTACCGTATTTTCCGGACTATAAGCCGCTACTTTTTCCCACGCTTTGAACCATGCGGCTTATAATGAGGTGCGGCTTTAGTCAACCAGAAAGGATGGATGCTGGAAAGTCTAATGAAGGAATGGTTAAAGGAGTGCTACGGAAAGCGCCCAGGAGGACTTTTTTCACAGTAAAACGGCGCTGCTTGTTTTCCCAGCTTCACCCGGGGATGATGACAGCAACACGGACAGCGGCACGGACATCGCCACAGAAAAGGTGTGTGACGAAGCTCTTCTGAGGCTGTTCAACTCCGACACTGAAGATGATGACTACAGTGGTTTCAGTGCGCAGGAGGACGATGAATAAACTAATCAATAACTTTTCTGTTTTGTTTGATAGTGATCAGTTCAGTTACGTTCAGTTAAACTACGTTTTCAATCCAGTAGATATCTGCGGCTTTTAGCCCGGTGCGGCTTATATTGAGGTGCGCTCTATAGTCCGGAAATTACGGTAAATGAAAAACTGACGTTGTTGCTTAGGCTGTGGTCCCCTGTGACTCAGGGTCAGGGACTGAACAGGAACACGTTAGCTGCTCCTGTGTGCTCAAAAGTTTCTGTTACTGATCCATTCTTAAATAAATGTCAAATCATTCACACAAAGTAGATTTTTATTTCATTATCTGAACGTATCTGATTAGTTTAGAAACAAAATGTTTTGCTCAGTTTGATTTTCAGAAAGTCGCTATTTTCCTAGTACTTTTTTTTATAATGCTGATGTAATAAAATACAGATAAATCAACTTGTGAACACAATGCATGTTCATATATTATGTATAGCATGTTTAACAAAAGCATGTTTACACATGGAAAGTATCAATGTGAATAAATCGTATGGAGGTGGCTCCTCTCTGTTTTCACTGTGTAAAAGTAGCTCACGGGCCAAGAAGGTTGGAGACTCCTGTCCTAGAGTTTCACTGTCGATCAGGAGCTAATGCAGGAGATACTGTAGGAGACTATTTTCATGTTCAGCCTGCATCACACACTCATAGTGACCGATTCCAATCAGAAAAAATAATGAAAACGTTTTTTTCTAACAAGTTGACCTTTAAAACATTACATGAAATTCTGGCTACTTAAGAAAAATGAGATCCGGACTGGAGAAGTTCATGTTTATGTTTATTTATTTATTTATTTGGCAGACGCTTTTAACCAAAGCGACTTACAATTTATAACCTATAGGGCATGTTGTGATCTGTGGGGGAAACCGGAGCACCCGGAGGAAACCCACGCATGCATGGGGAGAACACGCAACTCCACGCAGAAAGGCCGCAGCCGAGTTTCGAACCTGCGACCTTCGTGCTGCGAGGCAACAGTGCTAACCACTGCACCACCATGCAGCCCAGTAAGTAAGTAATTTAAAGTAATTTAAGTAATAAGTATTTTTTTTGATTATTATTTATTTACAAGCATCTCTATAACATTTTAACCGTTTCTGTAGCTTTTCCTTGACACAGCCACATTTATTCTTGTCATTCTCACTTGGCTGTATGTTTTTTGAGGTTGTATTTATTTATCTTGGTTTAAAACACTGGCAAGTATTTTAATTTAAGTATTTCCCCATATCTTCCTTATCAAAGCTGCACGTTGAGACCTCTTTGATGATCTAAAAGCAAAACACCTAATACCTCACATAAAAAAAAAACTTTTGTATATTTTCAAAAATCCAACACCGAGGACTATTTTCAGTTATTTGTGAAAATATTTAGTCTAGTTGGAGAATTTATGTGACATATTGTAATTTAAATGATCTTTGAATTTGCGTCCTTTTGGGATTTTTCTTCCATTAACAGAAAGTTTTCCCATAAACTCCAGCAACCACCCAGAGCAAATCAAAAACTCAAGATCTGAGTAAATAACTGGAACACAGTTTCACCTGATGGGGTAATCGGCAGCGCTGAGATTGATGAAGAAGTCCCAGGTCCAGTCGGTCATCTTGAGGAGGTCCTCCATGCTACGCAGGTACATGGTGAGGAGACTGGCTCCACCCCAGATGGTGGCCATCCTCCAGGGTGTGACTCTGACATTTGGAAGCTGAGCTGCTATAGACAGCACCTCTCTGTGGAGGAAGTTGGACCGCTGAGGAGGGACAGGAATCAGGGTTATGATCTTACTTCCTGTGGCGTTAGTAGGCTCTAGGCTAACTAACCAACCAATCCATGATGGTAGGGAGCCCCAGCAGGGTGTGGACGTTTTTCTCACCAAGTTTTCAAAACTAAATTTAATAAATGGGAGGACTAATGACAACATATCCCTCAGTACTAAATTAAACCCCAAATCTATGAAGGGAACCTGGTTCTCAGAGTGATTCTTTGACGCAGCTTTTAACTGGGAGTAGTGGATAAATAAATGGAGCCACTGCTCCTCCGGCAGCAGCTCTCTCCTGCACACGAGTGGTGATTCTAGTCTACATTCCTTGTTTATGACATCACAAATTGGGACTTCATGAAACAGCTTGTTTTAGTCACATATATCCTAAGCCAATCAATAAGCATGGATGGATGTTTATTTTTTTACACATTTGTTGAGCGTTACACGTTGTTACACACGATGCTAAATGTGAATTTTGTACAGTATGTCTCCTTAAATCATACCCAAGTTGGGAGAGAAACTGAATTTTTATTTAACCGGATCCTCTGTGCTAAATGCTCTCTGTGGAGAGACTCTCACCCTGTCTACGTGGATGTAGTAGTAGTGTGAGGTGTGGTAGATGGCTTTGAAGAGCCGCTGGAACTGACGCGAGGCTCGGCCGTGGACCACCAGGACAAAGGCGATGCGGACGGGTGGAGTAGTGATCGAGACTGTGTCCTCAACCCACTGGGCGTTCACGTTAGCTTTACCTGGACAGAGAAATTACCAGCATTCATTCATTTCTTTCAATTCAGAACTAGAACTCCCAGCTTTTTCTGATTCCCCCAGCTCTACCGGAGCTTTGTCAAATGACTGCTTGGTTTGATAACAATGACTAAATCACTGATCGTTAGCTGCCTTTCATTTGTAAATGCAGCCAGCCACACATGGTGGCCAATGGAATGAGCTTGGGTGTTGGGGGTTGTCAGTCTTTCAGGCTGGCCCAGTGGCTACGTGTCTCTCCAGTCTTGAATCTGGGTAACTGAACTTGTCCATCCAAAGACTTCAGAGAAACACACAAATGACAAGAAAGGATTTTTTATGTAGCGCTTAATAAAAACAAAGCACAAGTCGCTTCAAAAGAACAATTAAAATATAAAAGAGGTAAAAATATAATAAAAAATTGAAGATAAAATGAAGAATTAAGATTTTAAAAAATGAGAAAAAAAATAAGGTTAGCATGGGATCCTGAAAAATGTGGAATTGTTCATGTCCTCTGTCCTATATGTCCCATGTCTCTCCCCTTTTGCATCTTTGTGTTTTCTGTCCCTCTATTTATTATCTTTCAGCGTTCATACTCACACCCTTGTTACGGTGTCAGTCCAGCCATTCCCAGCCCTAGCCTCTGATAATTTCAGTTTTTACTTCTCATCAGTTTTCACTTTCTCATTTTTTGTGTAATTTTTCTATTTTCATGTTTTATTTAGCTTCCGTTTTTGTGCCTTTGAGCACTGTGTTTTTCTTAGTTTTTTATTTGTTTAGAGTCTCTTCTCCTGTTCTAGTTTTTTCCTCAGTTTTTTTCCCAATTGTGTTTACCCCCTCTGCTCTTTGATTTACTTTGTAAGATCCTTTTCTTGGTGTTAAGTTTGATCATTTTGTTAGTTTATCCCTATGTTTTCCTAGCTTTTCACTTTCAGTAATCTTCATGTTTGCACTGCATTATGGTTCTTCTATTAACACAGAAAAAGTGTTATGTTTACCTTGTTTTTACTGATGTTTCGACAATCACTGCAGCCATCTTTGGAGTCTTGCCACTGTTAGTGGCATCACTTCCTTTCCGGTTTGTGTCGAGTTGCCGTTCGGCTTCACCAACGTATGTTTTATTGCATAGCTAGCGTGGGATTTTATATATGACTCCACATTAGTGTTCTGCTGATATCTTGTCGTTGGGGTATACAAGTCTTTTTCTAACTGTAATGTATGGGTTTGTTGGTGTACTTATGTTGTGTTTTTTCATTGTTGCCATTATTTTCTGTTATGCCTTTTATGTGTGGTTACATAAACAGAGTAGGAAGTGTATTCTGGTCAGAAATCACAACCAACCAACCAACAACAATGGAGGCTTGCCATTAGAGCCTCACAGGTAGGATAACTGCAAGGCAGACTTGAACTGTTCAGCTAATTGTGAACAGGTGACTTTTTGCAGACAAACTTCCTATAGTTGCATTTGAAAAGATGGCTCCTAACACCTATGATAAAGCTACTTTTCAGGTGTAGAAAACAAGTCATACTCATACAGACTTGGGTGTGATCTGCTGGACGGTGGGCGGGATTGTGAACTGTGATGACAATATAAACTTGGGAATAAGAAGGACAGTTTACTACAAGAACCTTTGGCTTGATAAACACGACACAAAGATGCCTAAAGGCTACACTGCTGCCGAGGCTTTGGCTCTGCTGCAAAATATGGGTTCTTGTGATTCAGATGGGGGAGGAAGAATCCATTATCTTGCAGGAGAGTTTTGATTTGTCTTCAGATGATGAGTTGTGTTCCACGTCAGAGAGCAGAACTCCTCTAAAGAAGAAACGTTGACTGGAGACACAGACGGGCAACATTTTGGAACCTGAAATGTTGGAATCTTTGAATGAACTGTCACCACACCACCGATTCACACGTAACCGCCACCTTTACAGAACAAAGGATCCACAAGTGATTAAGAATCCTAGATAACAGCCCAGTCAAATGACACGTCTCTGGGAGTTCTAGTATTAATCAATAAATGAATCAGCCTCTGAGCAGAGGATGTGAACCTGGTCTACACAACCTAAGCTATTTAACCCCCAGCGACCCACAGTTGTAATGTTACAACATCAGATTTAAGTCTACAAAAATAAACCTTCCCCATTTTTTTTCTTTTTAAAACCACAATTACATTGATAATAGGTCCTATTGTTCAGTTCTGCAACACTATTGGCTGTTAAAATGTGTAAATAGGCCTGTTTATCTGGCCTCCTAGAACAACATGTGAAAGGTTAAAAAAAAGATTTTGCGGTTGTTTTCTAAATTTGGGTTTCTGGGGGTTAAAAAAATTATCAGAGGTTTTACCGATTTAAGAAAAATAAAAAAAGTTTAAAAAAACACAAAGTCATGTTTATTCCTGCTGACTTTAAATTAGCAAAATCTTAAGACTAAAAGTTGTTTTAAGTAAACTACTAAATAACCTAAATAGGTAAAAATGTTGTACCAAACTGTCGGTTTAATTAGGAAGAATGAAAAGATCCCAATTCAGGAACTAAGAACATTAATTATTATCTCTTTAGCTAGTTTATTAACTAGTTAAATTTTATAATGGGAATTTTTTAGATTAATTTCTTCGTTTTACTGAAGTCGTTTTGTGCTTCTTTTGGTTTTGCTGAAGAGGATACGAGTTGAAGTTTCCTCAGACACTTTTAGGCCCTCTTGTCTGTGCAGCATGCTGGGACTGAAGTTCAGTGAAATAACCGTAATCAGGGGGTTCAGCTGAACCCTGTGATGTTCACAGAAATGCTTCTAAAGCCTGAAAAACTCAAAGCAGCTTTAGTCATTGGACCTAAAAACCACTGTATCATCAAAGCAACCTATAATCATATGAATGAAACCTGGAGTGGCCCTGGGTGGTTCTTAGAGTGAGTAGTTAGTCAGCCCTTCCAGAATAAGACTACAAACAGCTTATTTAATTAGAGTGTAATTACTCTGGATGAGCAGCATCCTCACTCTGTCTATTCATGGTAAAAAAAAAACTCTGAAAATAGAACCGGTGACCACAGGGATGCCTCGATCCTGCCATGGCACCCGCTTCTCTTGTGTTCCCCCAAAGAATAAATTTAGACAGAAAAGAATCTCACATCTGCCTTCGTTTGCTGACAAACGTTTTAACGTAATACATGTGAAACCTAAAGATTTTGATCATGCACCCAAGCATCTACGTGTTCAACTGCTCTCACCTTCGATTGGGCAGTAACGTGGCACTTTTTCTGGCATTAGAGCCCTTTCTTTGTGCTTACAGTAAACCTCGACTATCTGCTGACGACACTCCCGGCTCTTGGCTCTGGACAGAGCAGAGATGGCCTCTTTCCCGCTGATTTCACACTGTAGCTGCTCCCTTTTTGGCTCCAGACTGGGCGGCAGTGGAGGTGAAGCCGGTCTCCTTGTCTGGTAGAATGGTGGATCCTGATTGGACCCCTGAGCTGGTGCTGGGAGGGTTAGCAGTTGGGTATGGGTCTGATGGATGTAGGTTCGGTTGTGGCCTTTTGGTAAAGAAGGAGCGTGCTTAATGACCTCATTACCCAGCATGCTCTGGGTCTTGTCCAGCTTTCGCTTGACATTTGGGACAGGGGCTTTATGGCGTTGGGACCGCGCTCCCAGGTTGCTGTTGCTGTCAAAGTCTTTGGGAACTGAGTTCTCGTTGTTGTTGCTGTCGGAGCGAAGTTTCTCTTTAGGTCGGTGAGAATGATAGACATCCTGTAAGAAAAAAAACATTTCTCAATTGCTGAAATCTTTCCTTAAACACGAAATATTTTACAGTACAGGCCAAAAGTTTGTCCGTCCGTCCGTCCGTCCGTCCATCCATCCATCCATCCATCCATCCATCCATCCATCCATCCATCCATCCATCCATTTTCATCCGCTTATCTGGATCCATTTTCATCCGCTTATCTGGAGTCGGGTCACGGGGCAGCAGCCTAAGGCGAGAGGCCCAGACTTCCCTCTCCCCAGCCACTTGGGCCAGCTCCTCTGGGGGAATCCCAGGGCGTTCCCTGGTCAGGTGAGAGACATAGTCCCTCCACCGTGTCCTGGGTCTACCTTTAGGTCTCCTCCCGGTTGTACGTGCCCGGAAAACCTCACCAGGGAGGTGTCCAGGAGGCAACGTGACCAGATGCCCGAGCCACCTCACCTGGCTCCTCTCGATGTGGAGGAGCAGTGGGTCTACTCCAAGCCCCTCCCGAATGACCGAGCTTCTCACCCTATCTCTAAGGGAGAGCCTAGCCACTCTTCGAAGAAAACTCATTTCGGCCACTTGTATCCGCAATCTCAATCTTTCGGTCACTACCCAAAGCTCATGACCATAGGTGAGGGTAGGAACGTAGATTGACCGGTAAATCGAGAGCTTCGCCTTCTGACTCAACTCTCTCTTCACCACGACAGACCGGTACAATGCCCGCATCACTGCAGATGCAGCACCAATCCGCCTATCGATCTCACGCTCCAGTTTTCCCTCACTCGTGAACAAGACTCAGAGATACTTAAACTCCTCCACTTGGGGCAGGACCTCATCCGTGACCCAGAGAAGGCATTCTACCCTTTTCCGAATCAATTTGGACACACCTTCTCATTCAATGTGTTTTCTTTATATTCATCACCACGACCATTTACAAAGGGGCCAACAAGTGCTAAACACCTCTGGGAACTCCTTCAAGACTGTTGGAAAACCATTTCAGGTGACTACCTCTTGAAGCTCATCAAGAGAATGCCATGAGTGTGTAAAGCAGTAATCAGAGCAAAGGGTGGCTTTTGGGAAGTAAATAGAATATAAAACATGTTTTCAGTTATTTCTCCATTTTTGGTTAAGTACATACCTCCACATGTGTTCATTCATAGTTTTGATGCATTCAGTGAGAATCTCCCAATGTAAATGGTCATGAAAATAGAGACAACACATTGAATGAGAAGGTGTGTCCAAACTTTTGACCGGTCAAGCCATGCAGCCTGGCCAATGAAGGCAGAGTAACATTAGGTCCGACTTAGGAACCAAATACAATACATACAATATAATATATATTTGTATTGTACAATTTTTGATGGTGCCTGGGCTCCAGGCAGGTGCATAAACATACTAACTGTTTTTGTTTTCTACACTTGTAAGTTCAGTAAGACAGTGAAATAGTCTTTTATTCACTTGTCTGAGATCAAGTTGACATTTTGACTTTAATACAAACAGCAGAAGATCTAAAAAAAATGTGTAAACTTTCTTGCCTGGGCCACTAAAGAAGAAATGACTGATTTTGGTGGTGAACAGTAAAAATCACAAATTTGACTTCTTTTCTCCAAAATGAAACCCTAATATTACAGAAAGCATGATTTTTTGTTGCAGATGTTACAGGATCTAAGACTGCGGTTTGAATGGAAGTCAATGGGACGTTTTTGTCCTCTAAGGCCACAAGGCCTTCTGATTCTTTCAGTGTTCCCTTGGTCTTTTTTTATTTCGTTTAAATTCTATTTCAAAATTTGTCAGGAGAGAGGTTTTGCAACATAATGTTGCACCATATGCATAAACACTGCCAAAACGGCATCCAAACGAAAATGGAAAACCTGCCCAAATAGACAAAAGCGTCCCTAATGACGCCTGAGGGTTAAATTCAATATGGGCTGAAAATATTAGCAAATCAATGTGCAAAATAAAAATCTTGGGACCTAAAGGGGAGACAAATTATGGTTTTTGAAAGGATTAGAAAACTAAACAAACCAAACCCCAACATTTGACATTCTGACAAACTTTGCTAGAATACCCTTACTATGAATTTGGTTTTACCAGATCTATCTGCTCGTCACCCCCACGACCGATCCAAATCTACAAAAGTGATCAGCAATGCTCCGGTCTTCACCCGTGTCCAAGGCATAGGACATATATCTGACAAAATCAACTATTGACTTTTAGTCTAGAGTGATGTTAGCCTAGATACCTAGACAACCGTAGCAGTAGCTAAATATTTTGCTGTGCTTGTTGGTCCATTGTAGCCTCAAAAGGTCTACCATTGCCCCAAACAATGAGTGAGCCGATGGTGCGTTCCAGTTGTCCTCGGAACTTGTTTTTTAGAGAAACGTTAGAAGGAAATGATGCAATGAACTCGGAATTCCAAGCTACAAGCTCGTAGATTTCAGAAGATCCCAAATTTAAAGATGGCTGCACCCAGTGCTACAAGGAAGTAGTTATCATCTTTATTTTTTTCTCAGTTTTCTTTCTTTTTGCAATTTAACAACACCGGTGTAGGGTTTGGTAAACTGAGTGCTTTTAGAGCTCAATAAATATATATTACCCCTACTTATGACCAATAAGCTGTGATACTCTATCTAAATATAGAATATCAACCCTGCTTGGTCTTTACTGTGTTTATCAGAAGATTCTAGGAGTCTTTGTTTATTAGGGGATTGTACACACTTCTGTTTTGACTCAGAAAAGAGTCAGGTTTATAAAAGAATTTATTTTACCAACAATTAAAACATGACAGGTCAACTAACATTTACTGTGAGTGGATGGAACTAGATGTGATGTATGAACCCATGTGTGAATGATGTGTTAGTCAGAACTTCCGTGTCTAGGAGAGCTGAGTTCTGGATGTAAAAGAATTTGGTTTGCGTTAAGCTATGAAGTTGTTATTATCAAAAACACATCAGACGCTATCCGTCGTGTCTACTTACCCACTCGAAGACCCCCGTGATAGATCCGGAATGTTGAAGTCCTCGGACTTCCAGGCACCGAGGTCCGTAGAAGAAACTGCGGCGCTACTAGACCGGTCTTAGAGTTGTCTCCAGGTCACAACAGATGGTTGGAACCGCACGTCTGGCGGACTCTTTAAGGAGTCTAAACGATATCAGCTTGTTCTGCAGGAACTGTTTGCTTTATCAGCTTTGCAGGTGCAACAAGGTTTTGACGACGTGTCAAAACCTTTGATGGGTTAAAGAGGGTTTGCTTCATATGGCCGGTTTGAAGCTTTCTCTAGAACTGCTGAATCACCAGAGTGATCTGGTTTTAATGTTCTCATGTTATGATTTGTGTAGCCAACCAGAGGTTGACAAGTTTGAGGAATATTACCAAGACAACCTCAGAAACACGCCTTCCTTGATACCGATGCTCTGATCTGGGGTAAAGGACTATCTATGTGTCACACACGTTTAACTTAACTTTACTTTGTTCTTGTGTGAGTGCCACTGGTGATGACCTTGTCATATTAACATGTTGAAACATATTTCAATCACTGTAATCATAACATAACATTCATTTCAAACTTCAATCATTGTGCACAGATTAATGAAACATTTCATTATATTGTAATTATTATAAGTAGCAATAAACAAACGTTTATTTAATGATTATCTAACTTATAAGTTTTAGAAGTTCATTTTTAATTTAGGAAATCATTCTTTGATTTACCAACAAATCCGGGCTGCAAGTGTTCCTTATTTGGCATGAAGAATCCTGTAGGACGATAAGCGAAGATTGGACCTTGAAGAGAAAACATTATTGTTGACATTTCGTTGTCTGTGTTCAGAGCTGCAGAGGCTCTGAGCTCCAGCTGATGGGATGAAGACAGGCCAATTTAAAGGGAACACATACAGTCTCGTGTCTCCTTTTTGACCAGATGTTGAAAGGTCAAACTGCTCCTAAAAACTGACCATTGCTGGACGTTACACCGGTAAGATGTTTATCATTGTTATCAATAGTTAAGTTGTTGAAAAATGTAACATTGCTGCCAAAATTGACCTGTTTTTATGATTTTTACTTTTCCTGGCATTTATATATTTACATTTGATTTGTTTTTCTGGTTGTATGTGGCAACTGTCGTGTGTGTGTGTCACTATTATTTAGATGCGGAGAATACTTGGGTTATATAATTATTTTGATTTAGTACTCAACACTGGTGGCATCCATTTTTTCCAAGTTGGAAGTTGGAATGCTAAACGAGCCTGTTATGTCATTTCCTGCTCAGAAATTCTGAGTTCCGAGGACAACTGGAATGCACCATTAGCACCAGAGCTGCAAAAATAAATAAATAAATAAATAAATAAAACTACAAAGATGGCTTTGGCTCAAGAATGGCACTCATTAGAAACAGCTTTGGCATCAACTTCGGACGACTTAGACTCAAGCTTTTCTTTTAGACATGAGAGGAGGTACTCAGGTAATTTGTTTAGAAAAAGGATGTACAGGTGCTGGCCAGTAAATTAGAATATCATCAAAAGGTTGAAAATATTTCAGTAATTCCATTCAAAACGTGAAACTTGTACATTATATTCATGCAATGCACACAGACCAATGTATTTCCAATGTTCATTACATTTAAATTTGATATTCATAAGTGACAACTAATGAAAACTCCAAATTTGGTATCTCAAAAAATTAGAATATTCTGAAAAGGCTGAATATAGAAGACACCTGCTGCCACTCTAATCAGCTGATTTACTCAAAACACCTGCAAAGGCCTTTAAAAGGTCCCTCAGTCTTGTTTTGAAGGCACCACAATCATGGGGAAGACTTCTGACTTAACAGCTGTCCAAAAGACAATCATTGACACCTTGCACAAGGAGGGCAAGACACAAAAGGTGATTGCTAAAGAAGCTGGCTGTTCGCAGAGCTCTGTGTCCAAGCACATTGTCGGGCTGATCAGACTGGATGAAGGAGACGAACAAGGTGAGACGTTTAACAGTTTTATTATTTCTCCGGTCGTATCTCTGTGAGGAAGAAA